TAGAACGGAATGAAGAGAGAGCATGGCTTGGGAGAGCTCAAGCCTAAAGGGTCTTCGCTTCTTTTCAATGGCATTCTCGATAGACTTTGCGAGAAGATAAAATCAAGATGGAAACATGCCACTGTTGCTGGATCGTGAAATGTAACAGCAAAATATTACATGTAATTAAGACACTAAATGAATCCAAAAAAAACTCTTCCATTATGCCTTGGGGCTTCTCCACATTATATACAAAAATTCCTTTGGATATTTTGTTTGACAGCATTCTTGAACTATTTGAGAACTATCCCGGAACAGGATTTACCTTTAAATACACTTTCGTGAGTAAATCATATTTTTCTGCTCTCCTGAAAGGCTATTTAGAAAACAACTACATCCAATTAGGTACTAAAGTCTTTAGACAGCAAATTGGACTTCCGATGGGCAGCAACTATTCCACTAATATGGCAAATCTCTTCCTTTTTTATCATAAATCAAAGCATATGAATGAAACCCCCAATCCGGAAGCATACACATTCACATTCCGCTATATCGACAATCTAGTAGCTATTAACAATGCTTCTATTCAGGCAGAATTCGGGCACATTTATCCAGATTGCCTTGAATTAGAGGAAACGGTTTCGCCTCCATACAAAAGTGCTCATTACTTAGATATGAATGTGATAATCAATGACATCTGTAATTGCTTTGTCACTGATATTTATGATAAAAGAAGGGATTTTGAATTTGAATTTCTTAGCCTACCAAATGCTAAAAGTAACATCCCAGGGCATATAATCAAGAATGTTGTTGATTCTCAGCTGAAAAGATTCGCTTTAATCTCTTCCAATGTGGCTGGATTTCATTATAACTGTGATCTCTTGTACCAAAGGCTACTTGGTAATGGGTATCAAGATAATTTTCTACAGGAACTTTGTAACCTGTTTGCTCAGCAATGCAAGCATAACCTAATTAAATTTGCTCCCGAAAGGGGCGATTTTTCTGCAATTTGGCTGTGAGTTATTTCCTTCAGGCTCCAGAAACTTTGTATACAGCTCTTGCAGCACGGACGTGACTGCAACACAGACCCGGTGCATTAGAACAGGTTCCAATGTTTGGGCTTTTTCCCATACCGTTTTTGTAGTTTATCCTAGACACAACTTATCCAGTTAGTCGGGGTTGGGTCGGGTGTTATTGGTCTAATGTGCCTCGAGGTCAGGGCTTGAAGGTAGCAGTAGCAATCTGGGCATCGTCCCAATCTGTCAGTGCAGGACACACTTAGCTGAATGCATGGGAGGGCCTTTCCCAGGCAACACATTTCTTTTGATAGGCTTGTTTTAAGCCTAGCCCTCCCCCCTTTTTCGCTTTTTCTTCATAGGCTTGAGCTCTCCCAAGCCATGCTCTCGCTTCATTCCGTTCTAGGCTTGTGTCTACCATGCATTTCAGCTGTGAGGCTGGTCGAGCTAATCGATTGTTTAATTGTGGCACTGGCAGATGGACTTAAGCCGGGATTGCTTCTGGGGCATTAAGTACTACCTCTACTATTTACCTCTACAGCCGTAGCACCTGACGGCAATTCTAGGCTTGTGTCTACCATGCATTTCAGCTGTGAGGCTGGTCGAGCTAATCGATTGTTTAATTGTGGCACTGGCAGATGGACTTAAGCCGGGATTGCTTCTGGGGCATTAAGTACTACCTCTACTATTTACCTCTACAGCCGTAGCACCTGACGGCAGAAACTCTCTGGATAGGGTTTATCGAGCTAATCGATTGTTTAATTGTGGCACTGGCAGATGGACTTAAGCCGGGATTGCTTCTGGGGCATTAAGTACTACCTCTACTATTTACCTCTACAGCCGTAGCACCTGACGGCAGAAACTCTCTGGATAGGGTTTGTAAGTCAGACTTGTGGCCTCAACCCCCTGACGATGCAGGCTGCCTGACAAATTTCTAGGGTAGGATCCTTCGCTGTCCCTTCTCTTTTTAACTTCCTTTAGCCTTGCCCCATACCTGCAGGCTGTCACTAGTAATTCGGATTCTCATCTCTAAGTCCCGCGCTTCTGGGTCCAAAGGTTGGACATTTTCTGTTGCCCTTGAGTAGTTTCCAGCAATTTCGGCACCAAATAACTTCTCTTTCTCTCTCTCTCTATATATATATATTTTATTTTTTTTTATTTTTTATTTATTTACATATATATTCGATACTGGAAAATGTATTAAATCCATCAGAACTTGAAGTGCTCAAGTTGTAGTGTTCCTTTTTTCTCCATTCCCCAATTGCTCTGAATCAGAATGCATCCATGAAAAAGTTCTGCTCGTATATGCCTGAGAGACTTCCTTCATATGAGATGGATTTACGTGACGCAGCATACCTTGTGTCCATTTCGCGCTCCAGCTTATCCTGGCTAACTTTATTTAAATATTAATAAAATAACTCGCCATGTCCATACATTGTTACACCCCTAAAAATAAACTGCGCAGGTATATTCCCTCTCTCTCTCTATCTAAAAATGAATTCTTAGCCAGATCTAACCTGGTAAGTCCTGGATGAGCATAATAATCATAAACAGTTGTGAATAGTCTCATTTTGGGATTACAATGCTAGCTTTCCTATAAAATCATTGAGTTGGACCTTCTAAATCGTTAGTGAGCAACCTCTTCCATTGGCTTTCGTTTGAGGTATCTTGTATTTCTCGTGTCCTGTGCTGTAGAGGTGAGAATCCTGGAGGAAGGATATCGGGATGTGGGCTTCCCCCGCCTCCTTCGATATGTCCTCAGCCACGAATCTCCCCATGAGCTGCGGGTGAAACCAGGGACCTTGAACACGAGCCCCCAACCAACCTCCCTCGTGTTTGGGGAAAAACCCATCCTCATCACTCCTCCTCTCCAGACACATTACCATGGCGGATTCAAGTGTATCAGTGGTCGTGGACGAGAATGCATCGCTGTCACCGCTGCCACCTACCTTCATTCCCACCCACATGTATGCTCATTCCCTCCATTCTTCACACACCTAACGTCTTTGCATTAATGATTTTAGCCTGTCAAGCTATGGGAGCGGCAGGATGAACACATACACAGTTTCAAAACATATATGTGAATAGTTACGTGATCCATTCCTCTGGCATCCATTTGGTCGAAAGGATTGCTTTCTGCCTCATGCTGCAATACGCATATAAATGTGAGATTCAAATTAGGAACATGTGATAAATGAAGTAAATGTGTAACGTTCATGGGAATTGCTGCCAAAATATGAAAGTCTGGCCAATTTATGGACTCATTTCTTTTCGGTTTACATATGATTCCCAGAGTGTTCGTGCGTTGAGAGCCTATCTACAGTATATATATAAAGAAGAAAATTTGTCTGTCTGTTCCTTTATGCATTCGGACCCCACAGGAGCCAGTGCAACCAAATTTAGCATGGCCTATTCTTTCATCCAGGGGAAGGTCGAGGGCTTTGTTTCTATTCAAAATTTCCACTCCCGGGGTACTTTTCCGTGGTACTGTTGTGCAGGGATGGCATTGAGAGGAACGACTGACTCCTGGATTCGGTGGTGCAGTGGTAGCAATCCTGACCGGCGATCAGGAGGTCCGAGTTCAATTCCCGGCCGTCCCCTCCTTTTCTGTCGTCCTCTCATGCCACCTCTCTCTGCCACCTGCATTACAGTACCCCGGTGTAATCCCATTGCTGGAACACTACCGTAGGTAGTAAGTATTATTATTTCGATCAGCTTTTCATCGAAAATGTTTCAAAACGATAAAAATAATAAATGATAAATTTTTCCGAAAATATGAAAATCTGAAAAAAATTTACGTCAAAACACCCAAAAAATGTGCAGCCAATGTCATGTCCAGTAAAAAAAAAAAAAAAAAAGGCAAAAGGGGCAAAGGCAAAGAGCGCATTTTACCAAAAAATGTGCAGCCAATTTCATGTCCAAAAAAAAAAAAAAAAAAAAAAAGGCAAAAGGGGCAAAGGCAAAGAGCGCATTTTGTGAAACCCAAGATCGGTAACTTAAAGGAAACCATAAGGCCAACGTTCCCCAATTTGTCATGCATTAAATATTGAAATATTGAATTTTCATGGACAACGCTGGGTACTTCAGCTAGTAGTTCATAATTGCCAATCTTCGGTGACAGAAAAAGAGTTCATGAAGGTGTTGGGTCATGGTATGGGCAGATATCAGCATCAATTGAACTAACCGTATGAACCGTATATTCACTGTGATGTTTTATGAGGAAACAACTGATAAGGGGTTGAGTCCTTGTGACCTGATCCTTCGACCTTCTGCAGGGAGGTGGTGAGCTCAATATATTGACGAGGGATGATGCCTCCGAAAGTGCTAGATTGGTGAATTAAATTGCTGCTGGGTTGCTACAGACCTAAGGTATTGCGTGTATGAGCTAATTTATAGATTAGCTCATACACAATAAGTCCCAATAATTCCACCTCATAGAGCATGACTGGGACGGGTTTGGAAGACACGTAGGGAGCGGGAAAATGCCACAACACACTATTAGAGACCGCACCACTAACCTCAGGAATGAAGTAGAATCAGGACCGCGCCCAATGCTGTAAGCCCTCCGATGCTGTCTCTGGTGACCAAAATGAGGCCATTTTTGGACGTGCAGAGGTGCTCTTGCAAGAAGCCAGCTCCACTGTTGGATTCGGAACTAGGTAAAAATCACTCCTGCAGTTGGTTTGTCGACATCCACCCGGTTCCAAATCCAAAATCAATCTGTCACCCACCTGCCGTTCAGACCTGGTTGAAGGGTGGAAAACAAGAATGGATTTCTCGTCCCTTCAAAACTGCCACATTTTCGGTTTTGGTGGCCAGTAGTGACCAAATCAAAAGAAGGACAAATGTTTCGACTTTTGGGCAAGGTCATGAATATAGTCTTAGATATCATTCCGTCCGAGAGAGGCTGTCAGAATTTTCGCATTTCCACCTCTCATTTTGATTAAATTCGGCTTAATATATTCCAAGATAGGCCCATAAAAGGAAGACAGCAGATTGTGCAACGTGCACATCTGTTCATTTTCTCCTCTCATAAATAGGCGCGGTAGTGCACATTACCTTTCTTCAATCCCTTCTGGCGACAAACTTCAATCGTCTCGTTTTCCTCTCAGAGAAAATCAACAGGAACAAAATTTGACAATTCCTCCTCTCTCAACACAGAATCGCTCCAGTAAATTTGAAGCACCATTTCCCCGGGGTTTTAGAGATCACTGAAACTCGCTTTTCGGAAATGTCGATTTCGCTCCAGTATTCTTTTTCTCCCCCCCCCCCCCCCGGGTAGCTACTACTGGAAAGTTTTCAAAGAAAGTGAACAACCAAATGAAATGTATTTACTTTTTGGTGACAAAAAGTGTCCTTTTCGTTGCTTCCAGTTCACCATTTCGCAGCAAAAAAAATGAAATTAGTAGCCGTAAATATAAGCCTAGCGCGATGGCTCAAGTGTTACCGGATATAGTGCCTCAGTTATGCCAGACTCATGATTTCTTCGGCCCTAATATCTGTGCCCGGATCTTCTGTTTTTTTAATATATGAGATAATTATGTACTGAGTTCATTAGCTTGAAATTAGATGGATGAGATTGAAATGGTTGCAGTGAATGATCGATTTGTTGGAAAGTGGAGATATCTCATCCGGACATCTCTAAATTAACATGATGGCGGTCAGCTTGTATGTCATGCTTCCTGAGGCATTTACTTCTTGGAACGAGTCGGGACGGTTCGAGGAACTCTGGATAGGTCTACCGTTCCCCAACCGCACTGAAATGGTTCATGTACCTCGAAACAGATCTACATTCGGTCTAACGTTACACGTTCTCTGTTAATTGGGCTATGAGAGATTGAATAGGCCTGCGATTGGTCTAACGTCATCGACGAGGTGTCTCGAAGACAAGGGATTAATCCATAAAGGCCTAATTTGTCAGTAGGTCGGTCAAGGATTGAGTTTCTCTTGAACGAAAAAAGGTAGGACTAGGCCTAACCCAAAGACAGTCTGTCGGTTAGGCCTAGGCCTAACGTTAGTGAGTTCCGTAGAGAAGTGGGGAAGGTAGGTGGGGTTGGGGTTGAGGTTGGGTTGAAGTTGAAGGAAGGTAAAACCAATAAAAATTGGTTTTACTATTACATATAGTAAATATGCTTTCATCTACATCGCAAATCGAAGTATTTCACTGTAAAGATCGGGCATTTATATTGCTGCAGAAAACAGGAAAATTCATACGACGATGAGTCAATGACAGTAGAATTTTCAGGCAATTATTTTTTCAATGAAATGTACTTTCATTTGACTTGGAAGGGGAATGTCGTGGTGCTAATCTCGGATGAAAAGGTCGAGGAGATCTTCAAGGAAACTATCAGACTCATGAAAGCTGTAATCCCTCGGATCCATCATCCAAAATATTACCGAGGGTGCGAGAGTCATGAGGTGATGTGCGTGGGGGTTGAGGACTCTTGGATGGTGGAGGCGATCTCTCGGGCAATCCGAACCCTCATTATCGTCGATGGAGGGACTCACTCCGAGGTAAAAAGCCGAATGGGACTCTGGATTGAGATGAAGAGAAGATGCCTCCTCCAACATCATGTCTCTGACTCCCTCTCTCCAGATGACTGGAAGGCATTGAATCAAAAAAGTAATTTTTTAAAGGTATGGTTTGTCTACCTCATACAAATTTGTTAAATACCATTCCCTTTCATGTATGCTATATCATTGACTACTCATGCCAACATGACATTAGATCACCTTTTTGTGCGTATTCCTCTCTGCAGATCCCTAGAGATCACATGATGGAGGATGATGCGAGAATAAAGACTTCTCGTCCAAGAGGTAATTCCAAGTAAAAAGTTCGATACTGTCGTAAAATTATGCGCTTGGTTGACCATGGAGAAAATATTGTGTTCTTCGTCTTATCTAGTCTTCGCGCACCGTCCTTTCAGGCACATGAGCCTTGAGATACACGGATTCAAGAAAGGCATAATGACTTTTTTTCTTGATGTCTTGCTTATTCGGCATTAAACCAAAGCAGCTTGAATGCTTTCTCGAATATTTCTTCTTTCTTTTTTTTTAGCCTGCTTCTCTGTCGATTTCTGAATGCGGAAATGTAGATTTGTTTCGTTCGCGTGTAGCGACCCATGAACAAATTCGAAAATAATCCACTCATCGCTAAAACAGCACCACCAAGGAGCGATCTTCAAATATTTTGGTTCAGGAGTTTGCTGCAGCGTGCCATGATATAGGTGGCAGAATTAGCAGTCAATGAAAAGACTCGCCGAGGAACATCCAACAGAACACTTCACTCCGTGTCTTGGCAGTTTCCTGAAGTGACAGTGTGGTGTGCTTCCACGGCATCATTTTTTATTGGTCCGCTCTTCTTCAAAGCACCTGGTCCACGTGGATGAAGACATGCACCGTCAACGGTGAACGATATTATAAACTTCTGGCGGAAACTGTCATCCCCGACTTGCGAAAACGTGTCGTTCTTCGCAGCACCTTTATGCAGGATGGTGCACCTCCTGTCACTGTCATTCCTGTGAGGACTAGATCGCCCCATCAGCCAAGATTTTCAGAGTGAATGGCTCGTAAGATCACTAGACCTCACCCTGAGGACTTCTTGTTGTGGGGATACGAAAAGCATCAGGTTTATCGAAACAGTATGAACCTATATTCAAAGATGCCATAAGACACGACATAGGTGCCATTCCAATGGACATGCTAATGTCGGCAGTTTGCGACGTCATAACCGTCTTGATTCCATTTTCGATCAGGGCGGGGTGCATATTGCACATTTATAGTTTAATATGGCGCCATCGGTTTTTGCTACTGTATTCATATCCTCATGACTCCATATGTATACCCAGTGAAAGTAATGCAAATTGGATGCAGTTTTACGGAGTTATTCTGCTCGAAAGTGATTGTAAGACTCTAACCACGTTGTCATATACGTAGTACTCGTATAACAATCCCAAAAGCATCCCGATGTCTTCTTCTAGGACAGTCTTGAGATGTATCCCTGGGATATCCAATGGACCCCCGCATAACTAGAGAGGAGCTTGTGTTCCAAGGGTGAATTGGAGATATCTTTTTGTGGTTCGATATTTTCTACCGATACTTATCTACCGACAACATCAATCGGAGATGTCCTTCATTCAATTCTCCCTCCCCCATCCCCCTGAAATTGAGTAAAAAAAAGTTTACTTTCTATTGCTTACGGAGCTCTTTGAGCCCTTGCGACATTTCTATGTTTCTGTGCTCAACTATTATTCCAAAGGAAACTAGGAAAACAAATGACTACCACATGGAATGCGCTTATATGAGCAGATTTTTGGATTACTTCTGGTGTCTCGAAACTAAATTGTATTCAAGCTTAATTTTTATCGCCTATAAATTCGGACACCCGCATAATAAGCATTAGCGGAAGCTTTAAGGCTCCGAAGGAAAACATTTTTATGACACTCATAACAACTCATATCGTGCTCTCAGACACAAAAAGTGAAGCATCCAATTTGCATACTTTTGGCTTGTGCGAATTTCAAGGCACGCCCAACTTAGCAATTTGAAAATTAGTGGTTTTATCGAACTGGAGCTAAAAATGGTGAGATGTTAACAAGTTGACTGCATATCGGTTTATAAACACTTTTACTCCCTATGGCGTATGGGACACGCCAGTGTGTCACGTGGGGGTCAACGTGTTAACACCCTCGCTTCCACAGACGTAACTCCCTTACGAAAATGCCTGATAGGATTCCTATACATTCCTTTTCAGAATATATAGGAACCCAATAGGTTCCCTATAGGGCCTATAGGGAACCCTATAAGCCCATTGGGTTCCGTTTGGTACCTATTTGGTTCCCTATAGGACCTATACGAAACACTATAAAGCCTATGAGGATCCGTTTGAAGTTCTCCTCTAGGCCACTAGATAGAGGTATTGCGTTCTCGCATTTCTCCACGTATGGAAATATTCAAGTCGGAAATATTCTTATATTTCCTTTCAAAATAACGTACGGGAAAAAGTGGACTTCATGCGAAAGAAGTTTCAGTAAAGAGACGTTATTCGTTGGTTTTGTCTGCCATTTCCTAAGGGAAAGAATGATTCCTCTTTCTTCCAAAGGAACTAGACGCGCTATCCTGTGCATTCCAGTGACATATTTGAGCCTGGACAGTAAGTTATACAGGCCTAGACAGTACTAGTATTAGAAATGCAAGTGCCCCCTTACGAAAATGTCTAATAGGATTCCTATATATTCCTATAAAAATCCTATAAGAACCTAAAGGAATCCTATAGGAACATAAAGGAATCTTATAGGTTCCTATATGCCCCATAGAGTTCAGGTCGGGACCTATAGAGTCCCCTATAGAACCTATAGAGCCCCATACAGAACCAATAGGGTTCCTCATAAGGCCTATAGGTTCCCTATAGGACCCAAAGGGCTCTGTATAGGACCCGTAGTACGGCGTAGAGATTAGCATCTCTTCTTTACCGAAAATTCATTGCGATGTTTTCTCTTCACTGATGGAGAAAATCGCCGAACCAATATATTCATACTAAGCAAAATCGCTTACTCTCTTTACAAGAGTATACGCTGAAAAAAGCAACCAGCGTCAAATAGCATATTCTGGCTTGCCGCATTTCTTCTTTTTCATCTTGATGTTTCTTACTCATACTTGCTTTACTTGGACAGAAAAGTGTGGGGTTTTCGCCCTGGGGAAAGCTCGAGACGGACGAAATGGAATGTGGGAAGTGTATCCATTGCAAAACCATCTTTCCCCTTCTCTCTGGATCCGTAATAACCATGATGTCGTCGATTTGTTCCTCGCCTACGCTGACAGACTCATCCACGGCCGGGAAAGGGAAGTACGGATTCTCTATCTGGAGAAGGATCCCAGTGAAACACCTGACAGCTGGAATGAGGTAATCCCCATCCGCGACCCATTCCTTGTCCAGAGGACCACAGGGGTTATTTGCGAAGATAATCTCTTCCTCATGGGAGGAAAGAGAAATCCTCAGGAAGTACTCCGACTGGATCTGAATACGGAAAAATGGATACCCCTCTCTTCAATGAAGATAGGAAGACAGGGCGCTGCTTCAGTGATGTGGAATCACCACACTATCATGGTTTTGGGGGGTGAGGAGCCCAGTTCACGGAAGCTACTCTCCAGCTGTGAATATTTGGACACGAGGGAGAAATCCCCTAATTGGTTCACTTTCCCCCATGAAATCAACTATCCAGTTGATAATCACGCAGTCGCTCTCTGTAGTGACCATATTTATATCTCTGGTGGATGGGATGGGACGGAAACAATGGGGAAGGTGTTCAAGTGCGGGGTGAATGGGCCTTGGGTCCCACTCCCGTCTTTAAACGTCAAGAGGCGCTTACATGGGATGATGGGAGACGGCGATGGGGGGCTGCTTGTCATAGGCGGGCGATCGAAAAAAAAAATCGAGGTACTTGAGACAGAGAGATATTCTCTAGATAGAGGAGAACGATGGGAGAAGCAAGGTAAACTTCCCTTCAAAGCCGTCTGGAAGGCAACAGAGATGAAATAATTTTCTGGTAGGTAAGTCACTCCTCCTCTCACTCCTATTTCCTGCCTTTCATCTCGCGCACTTGGCAAACTTGTGACGTTACTTCATCCTATTCAAAGTCTTCTTTGGTATTTCTCTGCAGGTCCAATTTACATAATGTGAATGCATTTCTGGCATGGAGTGGAAGAGAAAGCACCTACGCGGTCCTCTTTTGCGGAGAGAAAACTCGGCCTTCCGGCTCCTTCAACTCTCTTATTCCTCTTTATTCTTACTAAGGTAGAGCAAGACAGTATGTGCCCAAAATACTTTTCCCTGCGTAGCATACCTATATTTGATTTATTTCTATGAAAAAAATGTTCATGAAAGATGCAGAGCCTATCCTTCATTTCCACGAAGTTCCCTTGACAGAGATTGAGAAACTGCTTTCAGACAAGTTTAACCAACAGGTCTGTTAGATCTCATCATCCATGATCTTATATTATTCTTATATATTCCTTTAGGAATATATAAAAATCCTATAGGAACATAAAATAATCGTTCCTATACAGGGTGGGCCAAAAGTTTTTGCCCCTGTATAAAAATGTGAATATCTCCTGAACGGTTTAGGCTACAGAGTCGAAAAGAAAACTGAAAGAAAGTTCATTTCGTGCTCTTTCTGAAAATATATGGCTTTAGGTTCCTACATTCATTTGGAGATGAGTCATGGCCGTTTGAAAAAAAAAAACATACCGAAAAAAAAGTTGCCAAAGCGCGACGCCTCTTTCTACACTGCACAGCTACAATACTTCTCGATTTTAAATGAAAAATTGCTTTAACTCACCTTTTAATTATTGAGGAATGGTTCAATGTGTCCTCCATTTTGATATCGACTTAGAAATCCAAGACTGAGGGATCTATTCCGAGGCTTGAAGAATTCTGGTATTGAGGTCCTCAACACTCTGGATTCTGTCACCACGATAAACTTTCTCCTTCATAGCAGACCAAACAAAGTAGTCAATGGGATTTAAGTCTGAATTGCAAGGTGGCCATTCGCCAGGTGCAATGAAGTCAGGGCATTTTTCCTTCAGGTAGGCAACTGTACACGATAAACTTTCTCCTCCATAGCAGACCAAACAAAGTAGTCAATGGGATTTAAGTCTGAATTGCAAGGTGGCCATTCGCCAGGTGCAATGAAGTCAGGGCATTTTTCCTTCAGGTAGGCAACTGTCTCCCGAGCAGTGTGTGACGGTGCGCCATCCTGTTGAAACACAAACTCTGGTGTTTCCTGACTGATTTCTGATAACATTGGGTCCAAAACGTCTTGGCAGTAACTCTGTGCATTGATCTTCACTCCACGTGGAATGAAAATGACAGAGGTTTTCCCGTTAAATGATGCCCCAAGTGAGACCATAACCGAATCTGAAAAATGTTTCCGTTCTCTAAGGAGTCTTGCCGGGTCAATCTCATTTTTCCGATTCACAGCTGCATGCACACGGTCATTCTGGGTATTGCGAGGTGCTTGGACTGTGAATCTTTTCTCATCGGTGAACCAGACGTTCTTGACTGATTTAGTTGACCGAAAACGCCTGAGGAGTTTTTTGCAAACGTCGTGACGTTTCTTCTTCGTTGCTTCAGACAACTCCTGAACAGTCACTCGTTTAAAAACCTTCAAGTTCAGGTCGTTCTTGATTATGCGTCTCACAGAAGATCCAGAAATTCCAGTCCTTTTGACAACCTCACGCTGGCTGCAGCTGGTGCCTGGTCTGTTTTCCTGGCTCAGTATCAGATCTTCCACAGCGTCAATGTTTTCTGGCGTTCTTGCAGTTCTGGGACAGCCTGTGACTGGACGACGTTCAGCACTGCCAGTTTCACGCAGTTTTCGCAAGAAATAACGCACGTCGTTTCTTTCCATTTTCGATCGGGATATTCACGCAAGATTTGGTTGAAGGTAAATCCTTTTTCTTCACGAAGCGACCGGATTAAAACTCTATCACTCTCAGTTAGCACACGGTTTGTACCTATTTTCCCTGTAAGGGTTTCTGAATGAGAGAATATTCACGCAAGATTTGGTTCAAGGTAAATCCTTTTTCTTCACGAAGCGACCGGATTAAAACTCTATCACTCTCAGTTAGCACACGGTTTGTACCCATTTTCCCTGTAAGGGTTTCTGAATGAGAGGTAAAAAAGGGTAAATTAAAAAAATTAACACTGCAAAGACGAGCACTCAGCACAACGCGCGGAGTGGACCACCGGAGGCCGTTTAACTTTTGTCACGATCTTCTGCTGGTCGGTTATCCAAATCAAGCATCAAAGTCTTCAAATTGTCATTCTTCACATTATGAAGAAGGGAGGGAAGGGAGGGAGCAATTAGGAAGGAAGAAAACGACGGCGCGCGCGACCTTGAAGAAGGCTGCTGAGGATGATTTCCGTGTGCGGCACGGTATAGGTTGTTTTGGCAACTTTTTTTTCGGTATGTTTTTTTCAAACGGCCATGACTCATCTCCAAATGAATATAGGAACCTAAAACCATACATTTTCAGAAAGAGCATGAAATGAACTTCCTTTTAGTTTTTTTTTCGACTCTGTAGCCCAAACCGTTCAGGAGATATTCACATTTTTATACAGGGGCAAAAACTTTTGGCCCACCCTGTATATTTAATCCTTCAAAGTACTCCCCCCCAGCATCTATACATTGCTGCAGCCTCACCAGCCAGTTCTGGAAAGCCCCATGGTACTCATATGCAAGGATAGATTTTAGGGCTGAATATGAGGCCAAGTACAAGAGTGGTTCAAAAAGTTATGCAAATCATCATGCTGTTTGTAAACAAGAATGTTAACAACTGAAACTCATTACCATTGGAAATAATAATAGGCTTTGTTGTGTAGATAAGGCCCTAGAAGAACCTCTCGTATTCATTCAAAAGTCAACAAGTGTACAGGGTGTTAAGAAAGTTGTGTCCCATCACAATATGTCTATAACCTCAGCAAAAAGTTAAAAATCAGGAAAATTTTTTCATACATAATAACAAGGACAGTTAACTGATTTAGAATCACTTAATAGTTTTCAATATAGATGACAAGGTTCAGATGACCCATGAAAACATCAACTGATTTTCGCAAGTCTTCCTGTGGAATTTGCTCCCATTCTTGGTTCAGGGATAGCTTGAGAGAATCCAAAGAACGATGCTTTGTAGCACACACTTTGCTCTCCAAGTTGGACCAAATTATAAATTTGAGGGGGTTGACATCGGAGGAGTAAGGGGGCCATTGTGAAGTTGAAATGAAGTCAGGGGCATTTGTCTGCAGTCACTCCTGGGTCATCTGCACCTTGTGAACTAGCGCTGAGTCCTGCTGAAAGACCCAGCTGCCCCCCATTGAAATATTTTGTGGCCCACGGAACCAGGCAGTCTTCCAGGATGCTTTTCCGGCATACTTCAGCATTGACCTTCTTCTCAGGCATGAAAGTGAGTGCAGTGCATCCAGAAGTGGTAATCCCAGCCCAGACCATTACAGAAGCTGCCCCTCAATGCTGAGTGGGTTGAAAAATAATCAGTTTTTTTTCAATTTTGTCCATCTTGGAGAGCAAAGGATGAGCTACAAAATGCCATTCTTTAGCTCTCAAGCTATCCCTGAACCAAGAATAAGAGGCAAATTCCACAAGAAGTCTTGCGAAAATTAGTCAGTGCTTTTATGGGTTGTCTGAACCTTGTCATCCTTGCCAAGGGCAGCTATATTGAAAACTATTACGTGATTCTAAATCAGTTAACTGTCATTATTGTGTATTTAAAAAATTTCCTGATTTTTTAATTTTTGCCAAGGTAATAAGCATATTGTGATGGAACACAACTTTCTTAACACCCTGTAGTACTCAGGTTCAGGACCTTGCTCAATCAGTGAATTCAACCCTAAAATCTATCCCTGCATGTGAGTACCGTGGGGCTCTCCAGAATTGGCTGGTGAGGCTGCAGCAATGTGTAGATGCTGGGGGGGAGTACTTTGAAGGATTAAATATATAATTGTTTTAATTAATAAAGTCATTTGAAATTTACAAGTTGAGTTGCAGAACTTTTAGAACCCCCCTCGTAATGTGAAGTTAATTTATGCACACCCTGTATGATGTCATTGGGCTGAATAGGTCTCTTTTCCTTCCTGTAGACATCACTTCAATGGAAGCTGACCATGCAGCCAGCCATTTGGGGAAAGCTCAAGGGATTGTGACAGTAGTCAGAAGCATCCCCTATCATTCAAGGAGAGGAGTTGTTCTCCTACCTCCTGATCTCCTTCTCCACTTTGGTGTGTCTCCTTCTGATGTCCTCAGAGGGTCCAGAGAGAAGCCTCTTCGTGATGCCATCTTTGAAGTTGCAAGTGCTGCTTATCAGCAGTTGGAAAAGGTGAGATGTCAAATTGCACCTCATACTTTTCATTGGTTCTCATGATTATGATAAAATACATAAGTGGCATTCTGTTCAGTTTCATGCCTTGCTTGAGCGGTCACCCAAAATGGCACGAATTGCCTTCCTACCTGCAGTCCATGTGAAAGATTATTTGGAAAGGCTCAGGAAGGTTGACTTTGATGTCTTCCATCCAGCTCTACAAAGGAGAAATAACCTTCTCCCACTTGTCCTATGGTGGAAACGAAGAATTTTGAAATTCTGATATCGTTCTTTCATTGTAGAAGAGTTTTCGTATATGTGTCAATTTTTTTTAAATTAGAATAAATTGCATTCAAGATTCATGACTGTAGTGCATTGAAAGTTTAAATTAAAGTCCATTTGATGACAGACAGTTTTTCTTTTGAAGATGGCTTATGGGAAAGAATGGATGAAAGAATTCAGGAGTTGCACTCATGGTTCATGGGACACATATTTTGAGCCACTGAAGACCAACTGACCATTGAATTTCTTCCTAATGGTAATTTTCAGAAGATTTTGATAATATTATATTTCATCCAAAATGCTGAAGGTTCAAGGTTTGGACTGGAACACTAAGAGGCATTTTTGCCCAAATTGACATTCTGAGTCATGGTCGTCAAGCACTAACCCCAGCCCTTAGCCCCTCCTTAGCTTTGCACATAATAGCAGCTAACCTCTCCTTAAAGCTATCCAAGGAGATGAAAGCATTTAATTGAAACATAAGATATATTTTTAAAAATGAATTCATCATCTCCTAGTAATGAATGTCCCAAAACTTTGAGAGCAAGGAGAGAGTTTTAAACAACCTCATGTCGTTATGTTTTAGGAGCAATTTGATCTGAAATTTGTGAACAACTGACTACTTTAAAGGCAGAAAAATGCAACTTCACAAAGATATTCACAAAACTTTATTTATAGCTTTCCATACCGACTTTTATCACTTAGAACTTCCCAAAGACATTGTTCGTAATCTGAGCTGCGTTTTCAAGTCATTGATAGAAAGTTTCAAATCATCGATGTCACTTTGTAGCACGGAGAGTTGCTGGCTGATGTCTCTTACTCCTTCACACTCAGTCAGGCCCACTGTAGCCAAGTTTCCCTCACTAGGACTCAAAGGGAGTCCTGCTTTGCCTGGCAAGGCAGCATGAGCATCTGTCGCACTTTGGCGGTTCTTGACTGCTATTTCCATAGCTTCCTGGACGATAGACTTGTCTATGATGGCTGCGTACTTCTCTGAGAATTTCCTTTCATAGCATTTTTGTTCGTCTGGCTTGAACTTCTTTCTTCGTTGAAGATGCTTCCGGTCTCTCGTGATATTCGTGTCCTGGTTATTGTTAATGCTGTTGCTACTGAGAATACCGAGCAAGGGCATCATGGATTGAGGTTTCTTTTGGAAATTGGGGTAGCATGTTAGCTTGGAAGAAGGGAGCTTGCCATTGAGAACCAATGTCCAGCCTACCAACTTCTCCCAAGCCTTCCGTAGGCAGCCTGGGAGCCAGTTGGTGATATCAGAGAAGAGCATCTTCTCGATATAAGCCGTTAGAAGGACCTGTCGAATGGCACTGTAGATGATAGCCTTTTCGTTTATGCGGTTGGTGTCGTTCACTGCCAGACCAATGAGAAGATTCATCAAGATGATGGAGCCGATAAAAACGAAGGCTAAGAATATGAGGTGACTCGTGCCTGGAAAGGTCCGCAAGGGGAGACTCTCGAAGTCGAATTCCCCTGTCATCATTACTATGGTTTTCAAAGCGGCTACCCAAAATCCCTCAAAGGTAGCATGCTCCCGGAATAGGACTGAAAAGCTGAGACTGAAGGCAATGACGATGAGGGAGAAGACGGCGAGAAACTTGAGAAAGTTCTTGAAAACGGCCACGAGCATGGAGACATAAATGGACCATGAGGGATACCGACCGAGGAGTAGCATGGCTTCCAACCAGACAAAAAGGACGACCAAGGATGTCAAGTGAGAGAGGGCCGTGACATTCATGTGATTGTCCCCGACCAACAAGCAGACGATTCCTATGATCACGGCCCATTCCAGGGCGTTTTCCAAGTCCCTCACATACCGGGATGGGTCTGACAGGATCTGAAAGACCTCCCGGATGAACATGATCGCAGCCATAAAGGGGATCACGTGCCAGACAGCCTGGTGTACCTTCTCCTCCACATAAATTCTGGTGGAATTGCTTTCTTCGCGTTCTGTTGCTCTTTCTATGTCCACAAACGTAACGACGAAAATGGTGAAAGTAATGGCGAAAAGGAGAAAGAAGAACAAGTTGGCGAAGTAATAGAAACGGATTCTATGCCACTTGAGTTGGAGAAAACTCGAGCAGAGGGGATGAACCAGGAGATGGGCGTTGTTCGTCTCTATCATTAAACTCATAGTATCCGCCTCCTTCCTAGCCGGCAGCTTTCCGCCTCCAGCGTTGTCATATGTCAACGTTTCTTCGTGCTCACTCAACGAGAAGATGGAATAGTCGATGGTGAGTCGGAGGTTGGGGTCCTCGAGGGCCTTGTCGTCATCGATCTGGATGTAATTGTCCAGAACATCAGGTACGAGCTTGGGATATCGCTCCAATATGACGCGAAGCGGAAAGATCCCATCGCAGTTGGAGATGTCGATCCGAGCTCCCCTGGACACGAGAATCCGAATGGCTTCATCGTTAGAGCGACTCAACGCATGATGAAGCGGCACCAAACCTTCGTCATCCTTGATGTTCAGGTCTACGAGGGGCAATGTGATCAATAGGGACAAGCACTTGTTAAAATGTTTTCTTTTCGATGGCCTTTCCCGATCCCCGCGACATGCCAAGTGAATCGGGGTCTGATTAGACGCATTGAGGGAGTTCACGGAAGTCGCTCCATGCTCAATGAGGAGTGCCACCATGCTTACATCTGCGTTTTGCACAGCGAAGTGAAGTGCCGTCCAACCTTCGATTGGAGACTTGCCCTGTTGATTTGGATTGCCACCGTACTTCATGAGAAGTTTCACATGTTGATTGAGACGTCTCTCACACGCGTACAGAAGCGTGGAGTATCCACGATGAGACGACAACGGATCCTCGATCACCAAGTTCCCTTTGGCACCCTTGTTGAGGATCTCAGTGAAAAGCCTGAGATTGTTCACGTCCTCCAACAGACACCGAAACAGCTCCACCTCAAAAAGCCGCGAAGATTCGTCGACAGGGCTCTTCTCCATTCGAGAATCAAATTCCCTCATCTTGAAAGAATCACTGAACGATTCATCTTCCGATTCCACATCCCTACATCTCCCGTGATTCGCTCTCGTTGGCATGCTTCAGAAGACAGATGGAAGAGAGCGATCGAAACAGTCGCATGACACCAAGCTACTCACAAGGCACAGCCATGAAGCCACGTCCTCACGCGAGGACCTTGAACCCACATTTCAAAGGCACCCTTTCAAAGTCTCACACCCCTAATGTGGAGCATCAGTGCAGGGTTGGAATCGACACAGTATGGATGCAGATGAGGTGTGGAGCAGTCATTCGCTTCTTTCTCTACCTGGGACGTGGGGCTAGTGTGTGCCCCGAGGGTAGATGTTCCGGTCTGTGCCAAGCCCATGTAGAGCCTCAGCCCGGAATTCCACGAAGTTTCCACATGACTCACGAGGCTCACCTCCAGATCCACTTCAACCCCGGATCTTCAGGTTCATCGGCTATAACCCTGATGCGTCGAATTTCGCTCTCGCGATCAGTAGAATCGGAGTCTTCTCCCGTCTATGTTAAATGGTGATTTTTCGAGACACGCCTCTTACTCATTCTGTGATTATGGAAGCATACGGATTTGAGTAAGAGAAAATATTCCCTCTGCCAGATAAATCTCAATGGCATAGGAAGATTGTTTTCAAATGTTTTCCCTTACGTGCCAGCTCATGAGCTACTTGTTTTCTTAACCACCCAGAAACATATCCTTGTATCGAATAAGCATGAGTTCTTTTAATAAGAAATATGGGTGAAGCTTGATGCAGCAGTAATATTCCCCCATATAGTGAACACATACGCACACAGACATTAGGTAAATTGCATAAAAAGCCCCTCACTTCTTATGTAATCTACTTTCTCAAATAAATATTTGCCAAAAACCAGTCCGTGCGTGTGAGTAATCGTTGTGGGTGCGTTACTCTCAGTCCTCTTTCATAGAATATAAACAGCGCGAGGTTTACATTGAAAGACAATCATAGCCTCTTAAAATGTAAAATATCACATGCAGTTGTTCATTAATGTTAACTGGGGGAGGGAAAGGGAAGGGAGAAGGCATCAACAGCTTGAGGTTGATGAGTAACTGGGAAAACTTACTTCTGCACGATGGGGAGAGAGAAACATGCCTGACTTATATTTCACAAAAACGACTCTTGTCTGTTGAAGTTGGAGGGTGTCGGAACCATGTGTCTCCAGGTCGCATCATCCAGCAGTTTCTTTTCATCACGATGTCACATTTTTGACTGGCGTCTGCGAGGGTTCAAATAACTATTAACGCTTTTGCCCCGACGGACGTACTGGTACGTCCGGCCTGGTCCGTTGCAGCCCCCCACAGGACGTACTAGTACGTTCGTCGCTGTTGCCGTCGCCTTTGCGCTGTTATATTAAATCGTGGAATCATGGTACGTCCGTCATATAAACTGCAGTGGCAATCCTAGTTCATTGCTCTTCGCTAGATGACAGAGCACTTCCCTCAACTCGCCTCCAGGGCAGAGGAAGGACCGAAATACTTGACCGGGTAAACAGATGATCCGCGTGCCAAAATGGTAGAACTGTTGCCAGGACCGTCTTATGGCGCTGCTTGCAAAATCTAAGTGTTTCGTGTATTTATTTTGAAAATTTTCGGTGGATTTTCTTCTGGACCTGAAACGGAAGAAGTGTATATCTGTGAGTAAGATCAAGATTTTGAAGCTGATGAAAGTGTTCAGAGTGATGGTAATTTTGAGCATTTTGAAAAGAACTTCAAATTTCCAGTCTAGCAACGTTGTGGAACTTAAGCTTTTCTTTACATATTTTTCATAATTTGAAAGATGAAATAAGAAGTTAAACATAATGAAGCAACTTTTTGTCTTAATAAACTTTTATATTTTAAGTGTAAAATAAAAAAAGATTCATGTTTGCATCTTTCTTGAGATTTAAATTATTTGTTAGGTTCTAAAATCGCCCGTTTTCTGTGCCCAGCGCAGACATTCGGAGCGAAAGTATTAAAATACTTCATCGCAAAAAAAAAATACTTCGTTATCGAGACAGTACAGCTCCATCCGCTCGACTAAGTCAACGCCACTGGTTAAAAATGGCTGAATGACGGGAATAAGTGATCAAGGTATTCAACCCGCGGACCGCGGTCCGTATCCGTACCGCAGATCTCTTAGACCTCAGACTCTATTCGCTTCTTTTATTTTTTACCCGATTTCCCAGCCTCTCTGCTTGCGTCCCCGTTGCAATAATAGCTTGATTGTTTGGAAATGTCCAGGGAGGCGGGGGATTTGGAATCTCTGCCCCCCCCCCCCCCCCCCTCCATACAAATTTCGTGGTTAATGCTTCTTATTAAAATATCCGGCACGCGTCTTCGTGTGATAATAATTGTCAGGTTCTCACTTGGAATTTTACTTCCGGACCGCCAGACCTCCAAGACGTCATTTTAGTAGACCTTATCACATCCTAGTTGAGAACCCCTGGCTGGGACGGTTACATGATTAAAGACCCCTTCAGGTTTCTCGTAGGGGACAGTATTTCTGCTCCTAAAGCCTTTGTCTTTGGGGTATACTGGACGAGTTGGAATAGCCACTCTCACGTGGGCGAGCTGGCCGTAACAGTTTGTTCGTTGTGATTGATTCCCCCACGATATAGCAAGATGAACGACCGAGACATTTGTTCCTCCGTCAGATAACAGATGTGAAAAATGACGTGGCTATTCTGACCCGTTTAATGCTCTATTTCTCTTTGTCTTTATGTCCCTCAGGGAGCAATCAAGTTTTATGTTGCTTTGGTTATGGCGAATCCAGTATCCATTCCACATCTGACCATTTCGGTTAAGGTCGGTACGTGCGTCAACGCTTGCTAGGTAACGGTTACAGACCGTGAGAGTGTTTTCACCTCCTTGATCTTTGCCCCTCGACTGGAGATAGGGCAGGAAAATATCCCCCCCCCCCCCCTCGAGAAGATATCTGTTGTATTTGCTTACGGTACCAGATTTTCCTTTCGTTTAGTTTTCCATTTTCAATGGATTACCTCACCACGCAAATCGAGAGTTTGTTTTCTTGCCATCCGTTTTGATGATGGTTGGAATGAATGCCTCTGAAATGTACGACATTCCAAAGACAGAAAGGCGGACCCGTTGAGCAGAATAATTCCCATAACATACGGTACAATACTTTTTCTACTTTGGCCGTTAAGAAAGGTCTTATCCGTAGTAAGATGGAACATGGTGTGCCATTTCTTGCCCGCCTCTCTAGCATAACTGAAAATTTCGAACACATACCTTAAAAAAAAAAATAAAAAATATGGGCGATTTTGATGGAATTTGATTCATCTAGGTCACAGATGGAGACAATGCCTCAGAGATAACTTGCTCAATGCACAAGGTATGGGGGAAGAGGGCAGTATCACTAATGACGCCTGTTTCCTCTTCTCTCAACCCCTTCGCTATTGAACCTTTGCTGAATGTTTAACCGCGTGGTCATGCCGAGATGAAGTCTCCGAAAGCAATATATCACCAACTTGTTTGAGCGTTTGATCGACGTAAGTTGATTCGTATGCGTGCATCAAGCTGATACATGCTAAGTTTTAAGAATTCAGCTTTGCACTAAGCCATCGGTGCTCTTCCTTCTTCCTTGGTCAATAATTTTCCTCAGAAATTGTACCTCTTTTTGTGGGCACAAACATTTCCTCTTTAAATCTATGTTTATGGTACCTGAGTTGAATTTACGACTTGTATTAAGGGAAGTCCATAGCTTATCTGACCGTTTCACATCGCAGAAATGCGTCACAGATTGCAGTCTCTCTGCTAATGTCAATAAGTTCGAAACAAGCCCACCTTTTCAGCTTGGAGCATAAGGAATTACGAGTTTTTATCATGTTCAACATGGCTCGCACACCGATAAATAAACCGTTCTCAGATACCTCCCTACTAGCAGAAGAGTGCCTCCGATACCTCCTCGACTGAGCTAGCCCTTGCTGCAACCATAGCCCGTCACATCTACACTGAAGTATCTCTGGGTAAGGACGGCTCTGGTGGTTACGTATTTGTGCGTGCGATCCAAGGAGATTTCAATTCTCATCCTAAGGGCTGTGTATGCAGTCTCACAATCAACGCTGAGGGTCGGAAGCTCTTTCAAACAATCCGTTGAACCGTGCGTTAAAGCAATACCATAGGGATTTTTACCAATCATTTTTATTTTTTTAGTGCAAAGCTTGTCACCGTTGCATGCAAACAACTTGTAAGTGCAGCATGGAGTCCACGCCTACCTGATTACTAGTTCAGCATGTGATAACTTCAAATGTAAACCGCCAAGGTGAGACAAAGTCTTGGGGTACCTACCTTGTCATAATCGGTGAGGTAATCTTCGTGAATACTATGGGGTCTACATATGGATGGATGGATTTATTGGGAATCCCTTGGATTTTTAAATTGAATGTTTACTTCAGTAATTCCTGTACTGGTTTATCAATCAAGATTCCTAATAAGACTGTAGTCGCCCTTAAGTAGGTCCATCAATACCTCATTAACAAGAATCCAATTTTTTAAATGTTTTGCTCCAGGTGTTGGTCTGTGTTCTGAACAATATATATATTTCTAACTTTCAGCATCTGAGTGCCAAGGAACGTAAAAGGCAAACCCCTAGAGTCAGACAAAAGCAACAGGAAATGCATTCTTACATCTAAATATCTCCTTGTCTTGCTTTATTGGTAATGACTTGATGATATAGAACATACCACATAAATGATGAGATATCATTTTTATGACTTCCACATGTGAAAGCGACACCAAGTTCTGATATTCTGAATGGCTTTGACATTTTTATCACTGGATGCTACACACAGCAAAGATGCTATAAGCGTAAACACGAGAGTTCATTGGATTTGGAAGAAATTAAGGCGCTGAGGTGACATCGAAACTTGATTCCAGTAGGATAGCAGTTCTTTCACTCTCTACTGCAGATGTATTCCTGGGTAAGCGTATGATCATGACATAGGTGTTATGAGGAATGTTTCAGCGATGAGTAGATACTGGGTGCCACCTTGCTCATGCTGATTTTCTGTCGCTGGACATCAAGCTGGTGACCTCGAGAACCTGCAACAGTGTCATAGTCATTGCCAGGGCCAGGGAAGGGTCCATTAGGGATGAAAGGCTCAGCTTTGTCTGGAGGTTCCAGAGAAAACTGTCTTTCACTGTCTAAAGAATCCTTGCGGGATGGATCATCCGGCACATCTTCGTCCGTTTCCAAGATAGATGTCTCCCTACGAATGGACGTCCGGCTCTTCAAGGAAGGTAAGGAACATTCACTGAAGCCGCTATCACTACGTTCACTGTATATGGACGGCGAGCGGGTTTTGGAGCAAACACCAGTTTCCTCTAAATCTACAGGAGAATGTAGCACTGGGTTATAAAGGGAGGTGTCAGTGATACAAATCGGCTGGGATCTCTGGAAACTCTTGCGAGAGGGAAGATCCTCAGTCGGGGTATCGGGTCTCTCTTGAACGGGCGTGCTTCGTCCTGACGACGACTCTTCTACCACACTGGACAATGGGGAAGTACTACTCCCACGCCGGCTCTCCGATGCCCGCCTCAAGTGAGCCATTCTCCCCAGAGCTAAGATTGCTTTCCCCGTTTTCTACGCCGGAAACAAACAAAAATTTGGCATGCAGAAGCACTACAGGTTCTACCTACATGATGGCACTACGTTTCGTCCAGTAGTAAATAATAAAAGAGGTCCAAGAACACTCCCAAAGTTCCCACTGCAGTCGCCAAGTATCCAAAACAGGGTGGGAGACGGAAATCCTGATTCCGTGTGGACAAGACTGCCAAACGGGTTCTATTGTTTCAGTCTCATTAAGGGATTTCAATATAATTCGTTCAACGACGGGGCTAGATGGAACCTCTGTGGGGGTACTTCTCAAGAAGTGCTCGTGCAATGCAATGCGACTGCAAGTTTCGTTTATTCACTCGAAGCCAACAAGGCTTACGATAATGTGACGGGTCTTAAGGTCCGATGTAGCCATACAGCCTTATCTGAGTATGGAATCAGGTAAGAAGTTATATGCTAAGAATCAAAGCATCCGTGTAAAAAGATCGGGATTAAATGTATTCATTTAGCCAAATGGAAGATCAAGGGAATTTATGGTTTTCTAGGAATATATGGATCTCTACGTCAAAAAAGCTTCTTTTACTCTGGTATATCACAAATAGGGCCAAACACAATCCTGGTCCTTTCGCTTAGCCTCATTTTATAGATCTATAGTAACAAGCGCTAATTCCACGCGCCTGGTAATCTATCTGTCAGTCAAAACATAGGGTCACTTCCCTTGAAGCAATCCGGCTCTCTAATCCTCTTGACCAATAACGAAAAAAAGACACAATTTAGCATTTATACAGGGGACGTGTCTGAAGAAGACATGGAGCTCCAATGTAAGATTTTCGATCGGTTTCGTCACGAGAGAACGTCGGCGTTTAGGCAGGTGGTGTCGATCTGCACAAGGATAGGGGGACCTTAGTTTAAGGCGCGGACAACTTGGAACTATAAGAAAGAGAATGTCTTACAATTGTAGCGCCTGATTAGGCAATTTAAATGCTGGAAGGCGCTCGGCTATCCGAGAACGGAGACTTTGATGAGACCGTCACAATATCAACAACTAATCGGACTTCCACTAGCTTTGTATGAAAGTTTCATACGTTTTTATTTATAAATGTAGCTTAAGCGAGCATGGTTCCAACGAGTTTCTTGGACGACATGGGAGGAGCCATGCATAAAGGAGCCCACACAAGTTTGAGCCTTCTAGTTATCTACATGAAACTAAAACGACATGCACTGCATTTATAGCAAACTGGGACGAAGTATGTCACAAAAACAGCATTTATCATATGCAGAATTTTGTTAGCCCGTTGCCCAGGTTTTCAGGTGATGAATGAGTAGGAGTTTCGAGCCTTTTCATGAATTCATATTTTCATAGATAGCGCGATTCCGCCTCATTAGAATCATTACATCGTACCGGTTTCACCTTTTCACCGCCTCGGAAGAACACCTTTAAAGAACAATAAAATTTTCTGAGTAAAGAAGGGAAAGAGAAGCATACCTGCCACTTGCGCCTGATGATGAATTTTTTCAGTTTGTCCGTGGAGAGTTTCACCGACTTCAACTTATTCTCGCATTGGGCAAGCCACTGATGCTGCAGGCACTCTGTTGCCGTCAATCGTTTGCTGATACCAAGAAAATGGAAATTCCCATTTCAAGGATTTCAAACATGCATTATGAAGCTTAATTCAAGTATTGGCCGGAAATATTGCATATATTCCCATCACGAGTCTGGCAGGACTCACTCTGGTCGCTTGACTAGAAGAGAAGTGATGAAGTCCTTAGCGTCTTGGGAAATGTATGTAAATGCCTCATCCTCGAAATCCACTACAGCCCTGGTGATATTGGCAAACGTCTCGGCATCGTTGTCTCCCATGAATGGGGAAAGCCCCGACAGGCTGAACAGTGGAAGGAGAATTCTCAAAGAGGATGATCCAGAAAGTAAATATCATGATTAAGAACCTCAGGAGGTGAACTGACAGGACGTAGCAGATGACGCCGACGGACCACATGTCACAGGCGAGGGTGATGGGTTCATAACTTATCACTTCAGGTGCGATGAACTCAGGAGTGCCAAACATGACCCTAACCGTTTCGTCTGGGCAGAGGCGTTTCGCCAGGCCGAAATCGATGATTTTGATATGATGAGATGTCCGGGATTGACAGAGGATGTTCTCCGGCTGTCCAAAACATAGACAAAAGTTGAGAAAAGGGGAAAGAGACATCGGAAGTTATGTACCAGATGCACTTTCCTCATTCAGCTCCTACGAAAATTAGACTTATCCTGGAAAAAAATCCTTTAATAGTTCGTAATGGAATCTGACAGACAGATTAAAACAGATCTGGTGCATGCCTCACAATACTTGCTGAAAGCTTAGGTCAGACCTTCAAATCCAGGTGGACGATAGAGCATTTGTGCATGTAGCCAACGGAATCGCAGATCTGTTTCATGAACCGGACGCAGTCCCTCTCGGTCAACGTGAAGTCATCTGCTACGACCCTTTCGAACAGTTCTCCCCCGCCGATGCTGCATCGTACCAGGCCATTCCATACCATTTTCAGGATTATCAAAAGGCAAAAGAGAAAGAAAGAAAGGGAGGGTGGATGGAAGACTCACTATTCCATGACCATGACGATTTCCCGTGGTTTCTCGAATGCAGCTGCGAGCATGAGCAGTTTCGGGTGCTCCAACATATTCATAATATCGATCTCTTCGTGGACTTTGCTCTTATCTCTTAGCTTCAAGCACTTTATAAACTTGGCGGCGAACCTGAAAAGCGGGAGGTCTTCCAATAGAGGATTCCGGGATATGAGTAGCATTTTCTATAGGGGAAAGAGGATCCAAACTTACTTCTTCCTTGTGGTTTTTTCCGTAACTTTGTAGACAGTCCCAAAGCGACCACGACCAACCTCTTCTTCAACCTCGTACCTTTCCGCAAATTCCTCCCCAGGCTCCAATTGTATAATCCGGTGCTCAAAGGGCTGGGCAATTTCTAATCCATACATCAAACACATTGTGAAAGCAGACTGTCGAGCTGAGATTCAATTCATTTCATGTTCTACATGAAATGAATTAGTGTCTTAGTGGTAACACTCATATCCTGCAATCGCATCGTTTCAGCTGACAGACAGTAAACCATTCATATCTATTGTAATGACCAGTAAAACGGGTTCGGAATACCAGCTTCCATGTCCTCGCTGATTTTCCGCTGAGCCTTTCTCCAATCCAGCTTCAGCGGTTGGGATTCTGCGCTTGGCGCACTCACTCCATGAACATTTAGAGCTCGGATCCTGAACACGTACTCCCCGCCTGGCATCAGTCCCTTCACGACGTACGATGTTGAGTTGCATCTATATGAATCAAACCGTTCCTATATAAGCATATGTAAACAGGGTATACAAGTACATTTATGCAATGGCTAATTTCAAAACGGCAGTCCTGTTGCGCTCCGGTTCTAGTTTAAGTTAACATTTTGTGGTCTGACTGAAGTTCCATTGTGCTCTTATCGACTCATACCACTGGCAAATCCCAACTAGGACTGCAACTGAACTAAAACTAGAACTGGATTGTTAATGAAATGCAGAACTGAATGGACTGCAGTTATGAAATCAACCAATATATCTCAAAAGTTAGGAATCATAGGATAGAAACATCTAGATTATACCCACCCCAGGAGTTACTTTCCTTGAAAATGATGTTCCAGAGCTTACTGTATGCTACTGTACATAGATGGGGAAAGGGGGGCTACCCCCTCTGAATATTTTTTGTGTGCAATATTTGATCAAAATCTCGATTTTAGGGTACATGCAAAATAACTGTCAGTTTCTTGTCTTCAGTTACTTCGAAGCCTCAAAGAGCAAAATAGTAAAATACAAAACATTAAAAACAGGGGCATAAATTAAACATCGTTCCTTCCTTAACTGTTTGGAATCCACATGCCTATTGTTAAAATACCATAGCTCAAAGTCATCTAACTACAAAATCTGATCCCAGAATGACCCAATTGTGTCCAGTAATGCAAAGTGATCAAAGTGATTAGAGTGGGTCATTTAGGTCACTAAGATCAGATTAAGAGATTATGGTAACTTTAATATTACAGTAACCGACTTAGGCTTGCCTGCTTCTGGTACCATACTCGGCAAAAAGTTCCGGCTGGAAATATTACTGGTTTTACCCAGTTTGTGATGGACTTTTCCGGCAGGTGGATTGCGTGCAGGAAACGTAACTGGTTCCAATCGGGAATTAGAAGGTAAGCATTTTCAGACAGGGAAAGCAGAAATCCAGCAGAATACGGCATGGGATCCAGCTGGATCCTGTTGGTTCATTCCAGCTGGAAACGGCATATCAATTTAAGACTAGTTCTGGTTGGAAATGCTGCAGTTCCTGCTGGAAGTGACACACATTTACTGATGGAAAGGTTGCTTGTTTCTAGCCGGAACTTTTTGTTGGAGTTTTTTTTCTTTTTCCAGTACTGCCTGTCTCATGGTGGTCTCATGGTGAATGGAAATCTAGCAACTACATAGGCAACCCCATCGTTCCCTGACTTGAATGAGAGGGTATGCTGGTGACACCGTGGAAGTAAAAATAATATCCACTATCAAAGGGACCCAGAGCACAGGGCACCATTCAGTCTGGAGTCTGGACAGCAGCTACTCCAGTATGGACAATCGGAATGTCTATAGGAAGCAGAAATGAACCTCTGGGAGACAGGTTTTTCTCTGCTCCATGTATAACACTCATGCAGCTCACTAAGAAGGATACGTTCCATCACTTGGTCTATTACGTTCCAAGAAAACACTAAACACTACCAACAACATAATCACATATGGTTGGCTTGTTGATGATTTACTATTGCACTACATGCTTCTGAGGAAGAAGTGAGAGCCACCCACAATAGCTACCACTCTTCAAGACATCAGCATGCAATATATATTGATGGTAATGATGAAATACAAATATGGGGAGCAAGCCAGTACAAGGAATCAGTGAGAAGTATGGCCTATAATCAAGGAATATAATGGGAAAGCATCTATTTAAATTGTATCAAGGAAAGCTTGCCATCACCTAGACAATGTTCAGTCGTCATGAGCACAGATGAAATAACTGGATATCACCTGATCAGACGACAGGAAACCAAATTGATTACATGATTCAAAAGAGATGGGTATCAAATATGCTCAACAACAGAACATTCCTTGGGGCAGACTGTGGGTCTAATCAACTCTTAGTAGCCAAGGTTCACTTGAAGCTGAAATACTGAAAGACTGTTCTAACAGTAGGATATGAACCCAACAGTGGTCTAGTGGAAAAATTATGGGCTACAAATAACAAATCGCTTTGAGGCACTTGAGGAAGATTAGAAAGAGCCAGATGAGTTTTGGCAGAAAGCAGAGGAGGCAATCCTTGAGGTAGCCGACAAAACTCTTGAGAAGAGCTGAAGGAAGAAGCAGAAATTGATTACAGAGGACACTTTTGAACTGATGAAGAGGAGAAGGAAACTCAAGCCTCTTGTCTCTCAGAGTATTCAAAAACAAATGGCATACCACAAACTAGGTAAACATAAGCAAAACCAGGACAAATACATCAAGAACTATTGCACCAAAAATGAGGAGTATGGTTTTAAACACCACACACAGACATGTTCCAGAGAGTCAGAGAACTCGCAAAGTCAAAGATATAGATTGCATTAATGTTGTGAATTTCAACACTGACAGAGGTCACAGACAGAAGTGTGCTGGAAGCATGCTGTGAGAATCTTTTCAGATCTCCCTATGTTGATGAGGAAGATAAAACTGGAGCCCTAGATAGTGGCTGGCCATCTGAACCTCCTGCTCTTAGGAAGTAAAGGCAGGAATGAAGAGGATGAGGAATGGAAGACTATCACCATTATTGGGCCACCATAACAAAACAGCACAAGTGAAAAAGGTAAGAGGAGAAGCCATGATAAATATGATGCACAAGATCTGCAACACCATCTGGAAGAAGAGATCACTTGTAGACTGGCAGAGACTCATCTTCATACCCATCAGTAAGATGGGCAACTTGAAGGAGTGCAGTAAGAGCAGGACATTATTCCTGATCTCTCAAGCCAGCTGATCCTGCTCATCATCATCATCCTGGAGCACATGGAGAGAAGGCTGAAGTGGAGGTGGCAAAGAACAAGGTGGATTCATTCAGTAGAGGAAGAGGCACACAAGACCAAATTTTCAATTGATGTATCTGTACAAGTGGATGTGGTGTGGATTGTACATGGACAGAGGCTCTTGCATGCATATCTTGCAACATGTCCAGATGTGGATAAAGATGAAACTTGTGACAGTAATAATTGCAAGACAGCACACCTGTTTGGTGCTTTGGAGTTCATTCGTCCTATTTAAGACTGGCCTCTCTACACTCAGACCAAATCACACCAAATCTTTCTTACTGTTGTATTTACTATGGCCAGAGTTCAAACTACCCACTTTCCATATGGTCCTTTCACAACTCAAATTGACTACCCTAAGACAGTCATTCAGGGCAAACTAAACAACACAACTTGATATGGGTTTCCAATTACATAGTTTACCTTCTGAGAAACTTCTACAACAATCAAAGGTAGCTGGTGACCTCTCAGATTGGTTCAATATTCAGAAGGGTGAAGGAAAGAGCTGTTTACTATCACCCACCCTATTCAATCTGTATGCAGCGAGGATCATGAGAGAAGCCGTCGATGAAACCTCAGGAGGAGTTGGAATTTGAGAAAGACAGTTGAACTTGAAGAAAACCAAAGTAACAGCGGTCAATAAAGAGGATGTTGAAGCCATAATAAACGTTGCTGACGAAGTTCTAGAACAAGTCAATTCTTTCAATTACCTCGGCTCAGTCATTTATGAAGATGGAACATGCCGCCATGTGATTATGATATTTATCAGAAGAATCGGAATCGCAAGAACGAATTTCCAAAACCTAACAGAATTGTAAAAGAGAGGAAGAATCAGGAAAGAGGCCCACCTCAAATTACTTCAATCACTGATTTTACCCATCATCACCCATGAACAGGGAGGCATGGACCTTGAAGTAGGTTATGAACAGCTCGTACGTCAGTGGTCTCAAACTCGCGGCCCGGGGGCCGCATGCAGCGCGCAAACGGTCTCAATGGAGCCTGCATACGCCGAGAGAGAAAAGTTTCAAGCCCAATGTACAAAATATAAGACGTTTCATTGTACGATTTTACACTTAGGCCCGCAGATAGGTCCGATCTTGGCGATGCGACCCGCACACCTAAACGAGTTTGAGACCTCTGGTCTGGGGGCAATAATCCTTACACTATGACTCTTGACTTGTGAGTATATGTTCGAACTTCAAAAGTTCTAGAAAATTATCACGATCATAGGAGGCAAAGATTCCTACTTGTGACAAGCGACGACCCATGTTTGACCTGGATCTTGGACATCTTTCATTTCGACGATGTATCCGGTGATGATACTGCCACCGTCGTATGCAGAACCATACCAAGCCAGAGTGATAGAGTCTTCTCCACTGACTGCGCCTGTAGCTCTCCCAGCTGGTGGATCTGGTGCTCCTAAACATGTTCAAGAGAAAGTGCAAAAAATAATTCTGATAACAGATATCAGGTACTCATTTCACAGGTAAAGCATTGTAAGAGTCACACACTCTCCCTCTTAAGACTTTTCATAGTGAGGTTGACTGGAAAACTTCCGATTAATTTATTTTGGCGTTTCATTCCCCCATTCATAACTGCCAAAGAGGATTCCATGAAAGATTCAAAGACTCAAACCTTCGACAGCAACCGAGGCATGACGACAATCAGAGCCAATCCCGTTATCGACCATCACAAGATATTTTCCGCTATCATCTGATGTCACGTGCTGAATGCTCAACGTGCTCACTTCGTTGAACGTATCGATGTCAACACGTCCGTTCGATACGATTTCCCGTCCCTAGATGGGTAAAAGAAAAACGTGCGTTGAAGAATAAATAACCTTTACGGACGAGATAGAATCCACAGTTCACTCCAACACCTTTCATCAGCTTCACTCTTCTCTTCAACCAATTGGGCGAAACCGAGTTAATTTGGGAGTCGAATATCTCAAGGCCGTCATATATCAATAGAATTGCAGTGGTTCGCCATCGTCATTATTCACACATCTAGAGAGATGGCTGGCGCCACGAGGAAAAGGGAAACTGTGACGAGCAGGAGCAGCTAACGGAATAGTTTGTATGCCTGACGCAAACACAGCCTTGAGGCACGTCAGTTGCCATTCAATGAAACAGAAAAAGGCAGACCCAAGGCGTCAACGATGACTCAAATCCCTTGGAATCAGGATGCATGACGGAATCATTTCGACAAGGGAGTAGAATCTGTCATGTGCAGGAGCACGTTATAAACCAACTTTTTTACACGATGTTTAAGCTTATGATAGCGACGTCGCAATCAAGGTCATTGCGGATCATACACGAGATGCGCTTTTTTGGGACCTACTCAAACCTACTCAAGCTCTGATTCATTCTGGAAAAGAAATACCCGCAAACTGTTCCTCTTTCGAGAAGCTTCTTGCACTGATAGTCACCCAACCTCTCACCACTTTCAAGGAAAAGTGAAAAAAAAAGTTTTAATTGTACTCGGAGAAGATAAATCGTCAATGAAACACATGTTCAGCCATCCAGGCGAAAGCGCTGCTATCGTATTCTGTCGCTTTTTATTATCAGAAATTTGCGAGTGAAATTTTCTTCAGAGAAGAAGAGTAAACCCTTTAAAAGGGTTTACTCTTCTTCAGCAGGGTTTACTCTTTTTCAGCGTTACCTGAAATCTGCCTGTTTCGCACCGTAGTAGCCACCGGACTTGAGCGCGAAAGCTTGGTGAAATACCCACGGGAAAAATTTTTTTAAAATGCTATAACAATGAATCTTACAACTGTTATCTTCCAAAGAAAAATGCCAATTGATGCTCTCTATCTGCGATAAGAGGAACTACAATGCAATTGATAACGAATCCCGTATATATACGTAATGTAACTGAAAATCACGCTCCGATTCCACTGAACGTATATATACGGAGCAACCGTTATACGCTAATAAAAGCTACCCCGTATACATACATGACAACCGCTTAAGGCAGCGGTTCTCAAACTTTTTACGTTGCCCCCCCCCCCCCCCCCTAGTGACCCTGGTTCGGCGTCGCGCCCCCTTTCTCTCTGAAGGGCGTATGAGATGCTACATTCATCGAGCATTCAAGTTACAGCCCACAGGGACGCACGATTCATTTGTCATCTTCATTCGAATCGTAAGAAATCGCCGACGGAAATGTACACCCCTTGAAAAAAGGAATCGAATATACAAAATCTGCCTGGAATTGCTTTCATTTAGTCTTGTACTCCAGGAGAAAGACCAGAAAGACCTGAAGGAATGTGACCTTTTTCTAGTAAAAAAAATAATAAATACATGAATAAAAATATTCCATGATTTTTTTAATTGCTAATTCTAGTGGATTAAAAAAAACTCACATGACCTGTCGCGCCCCCCAGTTTGAGAACCCCTGGCTTAAGGGGTTACTTGGAAATGCAAGTTGGAAAAGGTGTTGTGCTCATGGCAAGGCAGAGACGCGGAGAAGAAAATTTTGCACGCATCCGTTCTCTCCAAATGTGAATCAGGAGACTTCTTCAAAGAGGGGAGAAAATGGCTCACCTTGTCCTGTTCTCCATTTTGAGAATGAGAATAAGAAACGTGCTAAAAGAATGGCTTCGCACTTCAAAAATATTTGCCGTGCACTTTCTGCATGTGGTAAATGTCACAACCACGGGCATTGTCTTCGAAATTATGTGCCCTCCCGTACGTTAGAAGCAACGGTATTGTCTGAGAAGGGTGACGTGTGGATTTCCTCCCACACTTTTAGTGAGGCAGTAGGGAGAGCGTGACGGTGGGATCAACTCGCACGTAAGTGAAAAGGAGATTCAGCTTGTTCTCAGGGTTTGCCTCAGAGTTTTTCTCACTCCAGCTGAGGCAGGGACAGAAACAATTTCCAAGGCCACCTCCGAACGACATGACAACCCCAACAAATATTGACATAAGTTTTTCCTATCTGCTTTTCTGGAGAGGGTTGACCGAAGAAACACAGAGGGATTGAACGTGCATCCTTTTGATTACCGATCCCATGTTCTACCAACAGAATTCAAAGTTCCCCTTGCTTCCCAACTCTCCTCCCTCTTCCCCTCTCATTTTTTCCCTGCAGGAATTTGACGTCATAGGTAATGGCACAATGGCACATAGGTAACGACCTCCAACCTTGAACCCACGTTCCTCTAGTTTTAATTTAAATATTTTAACGAAACATGCATCATGCGCAGGCTGAAAATTTTCCCCCCAAAATTGTGAAATTTCATTTGATTACGTTTCGCTAGAGGAAGGCTACATGCATTTATTAAAAATACATCGGAGAATGACGATGAGCGCATAATATTACGCCTTGTGATGGCATGAGTGATTCTGCAGGAAAGGTTCCATAATTCTTCAATAAATACTCCAGTCAGTTCGTCCAGACCTTTTTGAATCGAATCTCCGTTTCCTCCTCTCCTAAGCGTTGATGATAAACTATGGATCGGGTCTTTACCTCTCAAGGATGAACATGACAGGGAGGATCAATTAAACTTGGATGGGCATGACCGGGAGGAGATGAAGCATGCGATCGAAGAGTTCGTTTTTTTCATAGGCGAAACAGAACCACGGTCCACTAGAAGAATTTATGTTGCATGCTCAATTTATATTTTCTTGGTAGGCATGGGCTGACATGTCACTCGATGTCATCATGATCGGTTCAAGTCCGTCATCGTGATCGGTTTCAGTAGCGCCTTCTTCAAAAGTACTCACAGCCATGTTCATGAAATCCGGTCCTCGAGACAACTCGGCTACGCAGTCGAAAGTAGGGATATCACACCCTCCCCTTCCTTACTCTTCCGCAGAGCAATTCTATATCTTTTTTTTTACGTTTTCAGAAAGGTTTCGAGTGATACGCAAATGACCCCCTTACCGTATGAAGGTCAGAATGAATAGACTATAGGTTCAAGGTTCAAGGTTTGAATTGAGACATCAAGAGGCATTTCCGTCCATAATGACATCCTAAGTCGAGGTCGAGCACTCATTAAAGATAGGCAAACCCCTCTAGAGATAAACATTTTTGGTAGGAGTGTCAATCTACTGTCTAGTTACTAAAAGCTGTATTGCTCCCATTTTTATTACCATGAAGGTCTCGAGCCTCTTCCTAAAGCTATTTACGGAAGGGACAGTCACTATATCTTCACCGCACTCTACACATTTCTATTCGACAAAAAAACGCACTCAGCCACTCAGTCTTACTTGAGGCTTACGCAACTTGAATTGGTTTTCCTTCATCCTACTGTATTGGGAGAGAAAAAAAAACTACCCTGCTTCGCGTTATCGGTACCCTTAATGATCCGTAATGATGCCCGGAGGAGGTCCACCCTCATTAACCTCCTCTCCAGCGAATTCAGTCCCTCCTTGTCTAAAGGCCGCTCCAACGAAATTCCACTTTTTTTAATTATCATTTTAGTAGTCCACCGTTTAACTGTCCACATTGACATTTAAAATATCTCCAGGCCTCCAAAATTGAGCACAATAACCCAATTGAGGGCTTTACTAAAGTCGCATGCGAAGAAAGACGAGTGAGCTCTTATTGGCAGTCGATTGTCGCATGAAACCTAAATACCGTGTAGGGTTTGTCAGAGTGATGCCATAGATTTTTTTAAATCGGATTTTTGCGCACCCAAAAAAGTTTAATTTAAAAACTTGAGAAAGAAAACTGAAACATTCCCACGCCGAGGCCTACGAGGATGAGCCTGCGAAACATTCCCATTGATTCCGAATCGAGAAGATAATTCACATGCATCCTATTTCAGGAAAACACTTCAGTGGGTCACATATGCCAGATCAATGCTAATGCCAATTTCCGCGCCTTCTACAGTGATCGAGAGAACTCCAGAATGTTTTTTTTTTTCCCATTAAAGGGAAACTTTGTTTCTCCCATATTCTTCTAGCTTACTCTACAATGACTTACTGTGCCTTGTATATTTGATGCCATGTCGTGTGATTTATAGGCCGATTCGTTTTCGAGACATATTTAGACATACGAGCAGTGTTCTGAAAGTAGCGGGACTAAACTCAGAATACATTCTCTTATGCATGCCCGAAAGCATCATTCATGCCATAGCTATGCAGACCCTTATTCGAATCACAGATGAAGTACTATTTCACTGAGTCCAAATGCGTTGCAGTGTAGCCAAGAATCTGAATTGATGCAACATACTCATCCGATTTTAAGCTCAAGCAGAGAGTTTCCGTCCTAATGTCTCGTACAACTGAACGAATCTTCCAGCAAGATTCATAAGGCACTGAAAAATTAATATAGGAAAACCCTTCCCTTGTTTGCTTTTTTTTTCTTCCTTTACTGGCCTTTATTGGAACGCTTCAGAGATGACTCTAGGTCATGCCAGCCTTCCACGTCCCGTTCTGACAATGACTAGGAGAAAGCAGTAGTAGCAGCGCAACGTGAGTGTGTACCTTGACTGAAAAAAAAACTTCTTTAGCAGCGTGACTCGTCCATTCCCCAAGTGAAATCGGAGCAAGAAAACATTTCTCGATCTCAGCTATACAATGATGGGTACCCTAATATTCACGTCAAGGACTGGGTTTCCTCATGTGTACGAGACAGAGCAGAACCGAATTCAACCTCAATATACTCATTGGAATTCGGCTGTTCATACGAGAAAACCAGTCTCGTACCTAAATGAACACCCTCAAAGACTCATTGATTTATCATTTATTCATTATTGGAATTTTTAAAAACTTGCAAATGCATCTTAACATCCTTTCTGCATGCGTTCATGATGAACTACGCTCATCCCCTTTTATTTTATACCAAATGTATAAATGATCTCTCGTCAAATGAGAGATTCAAGTCTCTTAGCTAATCTCTTAGCTTAGTTGATGGTTGTAAATCCGCTACTTTGAACGTGGGAGTGAAGTTATGGTATGATTACTTGGTATGGCATGCAGACGTAATGGCTTGTGATTTGATTTTAAGATGACAGCTCACATTGACTCAATCGATCCCTACTGCAATTGATTACCACAAACACAGTATAATTTTTCAAAGAATTCAACATCAACACTGTCAATGAACCTGCAGCTCTAAATTTTCTTCCTATAGCAATGGATTCACGCTATCGCGACGACGTTATGTGAGTACCAGTGTACCCAGGTGTTTTCTGCTCTTGAAAATTGGAAGCCTGTGCTTTTCTGAATCTCTACCGGCAATAATTGTCTTCCACACAAGTAATTGAATGTTATTACCCCCTATCTTTCTACACATCGTTTCAGACTGGACTGATTCTGCACGTACCAGTATTTTTCCTGAGTCAATATTCAGGTCAGGCAGTACGGCTAAGTCGTAGACACTGTCATAAATTCAGTGATAACGTTGGAGATAAGAGAAGAGACTCACCCCCTTGAACCAGGTAACGAGAGGTGGAGGATCACCAACAACGTGAGCCTGCAAGGTGACACCTTCACCCCGAAGTACAGTGACGCTTTGGGGGCCCGACGCAATAGAGGCCGGCAGGTTCCCCCCAGTTTCGATTTCCTGTCGGCTCTCATTGTTCAATGACATCACATTCACGTCCTCAACGTTTGTCCAGGCCTGATCTGGCTCGAGCGGGGGCTGCCTGGCATTCTTCTTGTTCAACAACACCAGTTTACACGAGTGACTCACGGTCCCGTGTCGATTTTGGGCAATCAAGTGTATTTCCCCCGCATCCATGCAGCTTGCTTCATTCACATACAGCCTGTGAATGCATCCGTCGCGCTGGATCTGTATCAAACACATAATATTGGTATTCTCCTTCATTTCTCCCTCTCATGGGAATAGAATATATAGTCTACATAAATATCAAACTCTTTCACTTCTATTGTTCAGTTATTACAAGCCTTTATGGAAACAGATAAAACTTTTATGAGAGATCACTGAAAATAATTAAGAATTTTGCTTCTTTTTCCAGTAACTTTCCAACGCCCATGGCGACTTTAGTGCTTAAGAAATTTCCAGTGCCTGTACCTGGTTTTTGGAAGAAGGAGTAATGAGCTGTCCATTGAGGAGCCAATGCACAGTGGGTCGAGGCACACCCTTAGCTTGTATCTCAATCAATATGTTTCCTCCTTCAGCCACGACCAGTGATTCCGGAAAATCTAAAATCATTGGCATTTCCCCTCTCTCCAACTTCCGCTCTGCACAAAAAGAAAAATTCACGGCATGTCTCTCTTCCTGCGAACGAAGATAGAGGTTTCCCTTCCATATCGAAGACTGCAACTGCATACCATTGGCTACAGTGAGATTGCAGAAAGTTTCCGCTTCTCCGAAAGCGTTGTAGGCCTCGCAGAAATAAATCCCTGAGTCCTCTGGAACGGGATCAGGTATGAAGAGGCTGAACTTCCCCTTCCCGTCGCTGAGGTACTGTAAGTCTCCACATGGCACTATCTCCTCGTCGTTTTTCACCCATATCACTTCCACAGGCGGTGTGCCTAATTGATCAAATTGGTGAATAAACTCTATCATTTCCATTTCTTTTCGATGATCCTGACAGTACACACCTCCCATTTATATCGTCTGAAGAGTCGCGAAATGCATATATTCGTTCTCTTCACAGATCTACAAGCGACAGCTTCTCCAGATCAACATTAATGGCGATTAGGAAATGGTCACGTCGAACTTCCCGGATTTAGCAGTAAAAAAAAAAAACTCGCTTAAGTCGATTCTGACACTATCGAGGATATGGCACGAGTCTAACCCCGGACGTTTCTCAAACGTTTCCCAGACTAGGAATTCCCTCCTGTCACCAGGAACCCCAGATCCGGTCTCTTCGTAAGCAGAGTTGAAAATACCTATCTCAAGACAAACATCGCAAGTTCAAACATCAAAGTGGGCCGCGAGAAATTAAGCTGATAAGGAAACGGAAAGCATATCCGGGAAGCAAAAAAAAAAAAAGGACGCCTGAAGTCAAGGAAGCCACTCCATAGAAGGAGCGAGTAAAACTGAGATGGCTTCATTAGTAATTATCAGGCAACAGATGAATCGGATCAGATTGCTTCTTTTATTTGATTCTTTGATGGATAACAGAAAAAAAAGGAATCGCAAGTATGAAAACAACCTTGCCTTTTTCCTCCACGGGAATTTCCTTTCTATCTTCACGCCATGCAATAGATAAGAAACCGCGGCGGTTTGCTATTAATTTCTAAGTTATTTCTCATCTGTGATGGATCTTTTTCATTGTTGTCGGCTTCAGTTACTCAATTTAGATTTTTATCTCGTCTCCCATGCGTCGCATATTTTTTCACTCCTTCAAACCATTTTCTAAAGAAAAACGCATTTCTATGATAATGATATGATATCCACGGGTTCCCGCCTCTCTACAGCGCTTGAGCAACTCGAAAGGGAATCGAGAAGTTCGGAAGCACGAAGGCAGTTTCAAGAGAGCTGAAGCTGGAAATATTTGAAACACGGTGCTTTAAAACTGATGGGATATTGCTATTTAAAAAAAAAGAGGATTGAAAAATTAAACTACTTACAATTAAACTACTTAAAGAATTTCATTACAATGCACTCTCCGCATCGTAAGGGGGAAAAAAAAAGTATGCCCTGCAGTTCAACACTCACCCGAAACGTGGACCGTGAGAAGAACAGGCGCACCGTTGGGTACGAGAAGGTCGACAAGGCGCTGCATAAACTCAGGAGGAGCACCCGTCAGAGAAATCGGACCATTACTGGCCATCTTGTCCAAAGATTCCACCGTCTTCGGGACTGAGAGTTTCTTATCAATCCCGCCTCTCCGGGGTAGATCTACGACGGTGAGGCTGGCAGAGCATTCTGCTTCCCCGTCAGCACTGAAGGCCTTGCACGTGATTGCTCCCGCATCCTCATCGCTCACTCCTCTGAGGGTGAGTCTCGCCGTCAAGCCGTCGAAACTCGTCACGATGTTCTCCGAATCCTCCAGGGGGACTCCGTTTCTGTCATAATCATACAAGCAAATAATCACTGCCCCGCTGGTAAACAGAGAATTCCAATGCGCATTTTGTTCGTTTACGTTCGTTCGAAGAGGCAAGTAATATTGGTGTTCTCATGCATTCACGGAACGGAAATTTTGATTTATTGAAGGTCAACTGCATGAAACCTGCATAAAACATTTCCAGTCCCTTGGATGTCAAAGGGCGAATTATAGGTCTTCTCGGACACAGGAAGCCTTTAGTCACACAAACTCGGGAGGCATGATTGAAACATTCGTGATGGACCTGATCTGTCATCAGGAGTGACAGACCATCCATCTCGAAACTTCTACCCCGACGTATATTTATTAGCTCCGCGTAGATTACTGGGTCTTTCGCTGCAGGTGGGAGGATGCATGAAGTCCTCCATCAAAAGAGATTTCGGGAACCATGCCGTGCGATGTGTCTGGATATGCGGCCCTGGTGGCCCTCTCCTTCCGATCCGAATGACCCCACCCCATGCGCACTCACACTTTCCGTATACAGGTACACACAGTGACGTAGCACGGAAAAAAATTCAAGTCCGAGGGGGACTAGAGAAGCGAAGACTCCGGGAAGCACGAGAAAATGAAATGCGGTGTATAAGGGAGCAAAACTTGCCTGGAAGTAATGTTGTACAGTAGTAGTGGCTTATGTTTCAGGGAGAGGGGGGGAATCCGGACCGATAGATCCGCTTACTGGCTGCGCCACTCTCCCATTAAACACTCTCCATGCAAACGCTTTCTCATAACATTCATCTGATCTTGGCTGGGGATGCCAAGATCCAAGGCCTGCTGCATGCATACATTCATGGAACAGGCATTCGAGAACTGGAGGTCTGCAATCCGAGTCATAACATTACCATGACGTCTACATATCATCACGAAAGGAAGTAGAACTGCGAATGTATATGAAAGGCAGTTGTAGAAGTAAGGAATGAGAACGAATAAGAAACAAAAAAATGAGATGGCATTTCGGCCAGAGCTGCAGTTATGATAACAGCTCCATCATTGACACGTGGAGGACGCTGGAGGGGGAACGAAGCACAGATATCCCATGAAAATACTATTTGGCTTGAGGACCTTTTTCTCCTGCATCAGTGAAGCATGAAATCCCGGACGAGAGTGTCTACTTGAGCCACATGCCATTCCCCTCGATCGAGCCATTTTACCCACGCTCTACCCACTGACTACTTTCACTTCCGAGTCGATGTTTATGTAGGTACGCATTCAGGAAATGGTCCAGAAGAGACACTTTTTCTGGACCCTGCCCACCACTTCACGCACTAAAGGATAATGACTGACTATCTTATCGGAAAGCCTGAAGGTTCAGCCCTCCAGCGAGATAGCGGTTTTCTTTATCCTGTTCTGTAATCTACCAAGGGGATACGCGATAATTCACGATTTCGAGTTTTACGTAGATTTCAAACCCAAGATTCCTGGAATCTTGGGCTTGAACCAACCTTCGTGACTGGAAACGGGAAACGAGAACTCTATGCAGGAACCATTTCCAGTGACTTCACATCAGCATGCTAGTTCAGACAGGCTACGAAGAGAGATGACGTCAAGCATAGCTCCACGCGCGAGAATCCATTGGTGAAGACCGTGAAATTTCTTCTCCAATGACGATCTTCGTTCAGAGTGTGTCTCTCGTTAATCGGATTAAAGAGCGAGTCTGGGTTTGACCCATGTCGAATGAAACATGTTCCACCATCTGATGGGAGGAGGGAGGGGGGGGGGGGGGGGTCACCTGCTGATAGGTGAACGGCGATACCCGGTGTGCATGCAATGAGCTACGAGTGATGAATCATTGCACTCGATGAATCCATTCATATTTTCATTTTTCACCCGCATTGACGTGCTCTAACATTCAAGTTTTCCACGTACTCATCGATGCACCCTATCCATTCCCCCACAGCGGATAAATAGTGGCGTCCTGATTTATCGTCGCTTCCCTTTCCTTCCCTAGTGTTATCTCATCGCTGCATTGCCTTGCCGCACTGCAAGCGAAAAGCTAAGCACTTTGAGGGTTGTCTTCATGCATTCAGCCGATGGAGATTATAATTCAGCCGTGAATGGGAACACTTTACCAGAGGGGCCAGAAGAAGGCAGCAGTCCTGGGAAGTATTGTTCAAAACATATACGTGAAGTATGTGCTTAAGTTAAAAATTAGCTGATGCATGAGCACAAACTATTTTTTATTTGATTTGATTTGATTTGATTTTTATTTAATTTGGAGCATGCACGAGGTATTGCAATGACGGAAATATTTTTCTCCGTGTTCATCATAATAAACGTGTCCAGGCATCCAAAGAAACCGAGGACATATTCTTTCCGAGCTTGCTCAAAATTTATTCAGTATGGAAGCAGACTTTCATGATATACTCCATATGCTTCCTCAAATGCCGTGGTTGTTACACTGGCTCAATGCGAAATCATCCAGAAGACATACCAGTACTCCCGGCAATGCTTGGACATGACTAGTTGTCTTTGACCTCTTTAAAGGTCCACTTGATGCATCTCATCTGCACGACATAAAAAGAGAAAGATGCCAAGACAGGCTCATAGATTCAAGTATTAACTAGAACGAGAAATCGCTGACTTCATGTCCTATTTCTAACATCTTAGGTTTGATCATCTTGCAGGTAAAGATTCGTACCTTCTTTATAGATAATGACCGTCTTCAGCACACATTCAAGTTATTTCCAATGAGATATTCTAGGCCTCGGATACGAATGTAAACTTTTATATACGAACGGATACAACGAGGTGCCCTAAATAAAGGAGAACCCGGGGAGGAACGTGCTGAGATCACGAGCTGAGATCACGCACATTCCAAGGTATTATCGCGATGACGGAGTGGATCGCTCCTTCACGTAGTGTAACGAATCCGGCCTTGAGATCCTACAATATCTTTTCTTCGGAGGATCGATTATATTCAAGGGGCTAAGGAATGAAAATTATCTCAAAGGTCTCGAGTGACCTTTCACATGACGCAGGAATAAGTTTTATTACCTCTATTTTTGCCTATTAACTTTCTATTTGTACCATTACCGTTAGTATTATTACTATTGCCTCTCAGTTATGACGTCTGTTAAATGTGTAAAAAAATCTTGCCTATCCCGTGGGCTACTACCCACCTCTGCCTGTACAAGGTAACAAGAATCAAAAGAGCTCTACCTCGAGAGACGACAAGCAGAAGTCGATCTCAGAATGCAAAATCGAGAGGGTAGTAGGAAGGGTGCATATTCTCGGTCATTGCTACGTTTCATCGATGACCACATGAAATCCAATCAGGCGGTGCACGCATGGGCGTTTCATCACATGTAGACGGGCGTTGAAATTAATTAGTTCAGACATGATGAGCAACCGGTTCGGTTGAGGTTGCTCTCCATGTCTGGAACTCTTGCATCACGTCACCTCAATCCACCATCCGCCTACTCTTAAACACTTTCCATGATGAAAACGATGTCATTCTCCCTCACAGTTCTCGTCTCTTCGCTCAGACATAATCTACCTGCCTATTCAGGCAAATGACAATGCACTATGTGTTGCGAAGGGAGACAGCCTGCAACGATGCCACACCTCCCAAAAGGTGTCAGCCGCCAAAGGTTGTCGAGTCTGATAAAAAGAACTATCGAAGTAAGAGGAAGATAAATCCCACCTATTTCTGGGGGTATTCTTACCTGTACCAGTTAGTTCTTGGAACAGAGGAACCGCGGATATCACAGGAGAAGTATGCCGTTCCTCCACTCCAGATGCTGGCGTTACTGTGCCGGCGAGAGAATTGCGGTGGTACGGAATATCGAGATGCTCCCAAATTCTGCAATCGCAACGCAATCCGAGGCCCAGTGCGAGCTGAAAAAAGAGAAGGAATTATGCATAATATAATCACTTTCTGAATATTCACCGCTAAAAATAAATCTTCTCTAACTTTCTTCTCGCACGGTAAATCTTGAAAATTTGACCCATCTCACAAAAAGAGACCCACTAAAGTCATCGTTCAGGATGAATTTCAAACAGCGCAATCACCATCATAACGTCGACTGCGATGCCCGAACCACAGCGAGAGTCACACAAATGACACAGAATCTGAATGTACGAGACATAACAGTACTGAGGTCACCGTACATTAACCACCAGAGGCAAGAGAGAAAAAAACCTTGCTGGGTTACCACGCGGTCTCCATTGTTGATACGCTACTGAAGAGAATATAGACCGGCGGCTCCAAGTCTAGCCTGTCTAGCTTGGAACCTCCTTGATATTCAGATCATTTTTTAGATATGGGCAAGCACCAAATCAGGTTTCCGCTCTGACCATATAAGGATGACAGTAAAGTCGTTCTTTCAGGAAAGCACGATAAGAACAGAAACCGTTGACCTGAAAATATGACTAAAGCGACCCCATGACTAAACCACGTAGCTGTCAGTCTTACTTTCCCCACAATCGATGTCCGCTTCCCCTTATCACCCCGACTGTAAATCTCGCCGCATTGACATCTACGGTCGATTTGAGTCACCACAACCTTACAAGCTGAATTCATCATTGAAGGTTCGTCGTCAAGAGTCGATCAGTGAAGATTTCCCTCGCGCTGTGAGGGGTTTCAAGTTGACTAAATTTAATTAGGTTGGCTTTCCTTCGGCTCACGGGGAAACCGAAGAGAAAACCATAAAACATCATCCAACGTGACCTGTCGTCAATAATCGTCCTGCATCAATCACCAATGCAAGCTCGTCATACTGGCGGGGACAATCATCCGAACGGGCTCCGGTAGCATTACGACCCTGAGGCATGACTCACCATTGTGAAAAATGTCTGCTCCAGTTTTTATTTAAACTATATATTTCCCTGGTGGAAGGTCGAGGCTTTTACGGGAGGTGGACTCACATATGACGTCTAGACGGGCAGAGGCTTGACATCGCCCGAAGTTGTTCGAGATAGTAACTCTGTAGAGGCCAGCATCATCCCGGCACACGTGACACACTTCCAATACTCGCAGGTCCTTCCGGGTCTTCATGTGATATTTGGGATCACCCTCCTTGATGGAGACGTTATCCTTGTCCCAAGTCACTGTCGGGACCGGGTAGCCTGCCACTGAGCAATAGAATGTGGCCGAATCACCCTCCTCCACTATCTTGTTATGGGGCACTGAATAGAATTTAGGGGGCATGATTTTTCTCTTGCCGGATACACGTCCTTCATCTCCTGTACTACCTGTACCGGGAATGATGAAGTCAGGTAGAACACAACACACAGCATTCATGGCACTCCTGGATATAAAACAGACAATATCTGTCACTACTCTCTGCCAACGAAGACCCGATTATACTAAACCCGAAATTATAGGTTGCGAAAGTCTGGAGGAATGTGCACGCACCCTTGGGAGTTGAGCCGTTTCGGGAAGCACTGCATACGGAAAAGACTGTAAGAGGTGACTTTTCAAACTCAATAGAAGACTTCACTCATAGACTGTTTACCTCCTGGTTACTATCCCTAGCCATTCGGTACTATAGTTATACTCGTCATCTCTCATCTATAGGAATGCTCACCACTTAAAATTGCACTTAATCCTTGAGGGTAATTGTTCAAAAAGCAACCATAGGAAGATACTTTATTTAAGAGAAAAACTCTAATATCTAGGAAAGATTCAAAAGGACGAACAGGGAATCCATGTTGTTCCACTGAATTTATACATAGGAAGTCGAACTCTGGACGACTGAACGAACCCATTAAGCCGAGTTCTCAAAGCCTGACTAAGCTAGATCTAGTAGCTACTATTCAACTTGATTGGATAGTTCACAGAAATAGTAGCTGATAGGCTCGAAAATTCGCAGTTATATCTTCCGAATCCCATTTTGGGCCACGATTGAAGCAAAACAGGAGCTGCGAATAAAGCAATCAAACAAGGCATGAAATGGTAACTCGACACTCTCTGTTGAGGCTACATTCAAGAAGAAAACGAAATGGACAGAAAAACCCCTCTGTCTGCAGTTCTAGGGTGGATTGATTCACCCCTACTCTTTTGAATACGTGAGGTCGTTTCTCCATTAGTAAAGTAAGCACCATGTAATATAAATATATTTCATAATAACTAAATAGAGATATTGATAATGTTGTGGTGCATTCGTAGCCTACTTCATAAGCCTGATATTCTCCCTTTCGCTACCTGCGGCTATGTGAACATCGAAGATCATCATCTGAAGTGCTTGGCTTGGTGAGTGTGAAATGAAAAATGCCATGGCCAGGAAAAAAAGAAAAGAAGAGGATGAATGTAGGAGAAAGGGGAGAGAGGAAAAAAATAGCCGAAGACAACATGAAATTCCAAGCCCATCCTTGATCGATGCTCATGTAAACCACGTCCAAGAATGAAAATAGTGGTGTATCTATTACAAAGAATGAAAAGAACAATAGCATGCCACAGGCGATAGAATGAAAAGGCGTTTATTTCACCATTCCTTACATGATGGCAGGTAATTGATGAGTCAGAGGGGATACCTGTGCATTACATTCAGAAGGCACTAAAGGAGCACACGTCGATTTATAATGTAAAAAATAAAGCGTATCGTTTCAGTTCAGTTGAGAGGAGCATAAATAATTGTTTAGCTCCTCAAGTCTCAAAGCTGGATCAATCTCAAGGTCGGAAGATGAGAATACAACTTCGGTGTATTCCTGGAAAGAATGTGTAAAAATGCAACAGGTTCTGACATTTCTTACATAGGAATATTTTCCAGCCATATTGGCGGAAAGAAAAAAGAAATTGGTTCCCTCCACTGTACAGCAAGTTTTAGCAAATGGCGCTGATGAAAATATCTCTGGCTGGGAGAATATACCTGGTACGTGGGAGAACTCGGCTGAAATACAGGACAGACAACGAACATCAATTATTGTCGACGAAGGTAGGTGTATGTAAAAGACGACAGCGATGTCAGAAGCGGATCATAAGAGACACAGACAACGGAATCGCGAAGAGAAGAGAAAGAAGCACTGCACCCTTGATATGCTTCCAGAATTCCCCCATCCCCCGGAGCACCTTGCATGCGTGAATTCACAACTTCTTTGATAGCGAAGGACAGGGAAGGGGAAAAATCAAAAGAAAATGAATAGGGAGTGGAAACGTCTCCAAGGAGAAGATAGAAAGGCAAGATAAGGGAGAAGAATGAGGAAAGGCGAGGCACAGAACCCTGGCTTGGCCACGTCACTTGGTCAGGTCAGGTCAAGTCAGGTCAGTCAGATCTCTCACCCATCGAGTGGCTTTGAGTTTGCGATTGGGGTTGTTGTCGCCAACTGGGTGCAAAATGGGACGCTGGTTTTGCATCCAGAGACGATGACACATCGTTCTCCTTCTCCTCTGGCACTGCATAGACAACGATACGAAATTCCATAAACCTCACCCCTTCGAGGCTTGCGGAGAGACAGGGTACTAGCGTACCGTACCTTCACGTGATAAACCATACAAGTAGAACCTTACAGGTACACCGTACGTATTCTCCCCCCTCCTAATGAGACAGTAATATTAGGAGTTTCACTCGATCGTCGCTCTGCAAGCAGTAGTCAATGTTCTGGAGGCAACGATTGTCATTGTCACCGGAACATGGCATTTACCGTGCAAAAACCAGAATCTGTTACACTTATGTAATTGTTGCGATTCAGGTCGTTCTCGCATTCACAAGGGGCATACCAATGAGCACGGAAACGACATGCTGAAGTTCTTAGGAAGTCAGTCATGGCTCCCACATAAAGCGATGCAGAATCATTTCTGCCATATTTCCAACTCCTTCGTCTTGCAGTCAATCGGCAATATTTAGTAAAGCGACAATTGAAGGGCTGAAAGGCAAAGTGGTCTATCTGCAAAAAATTATTTCCTGGAGCTCCACACGAAATGAGTGAATATTCCAGTGACCGTCATGTTAAATTTGAGAAAAAGTGGTATGTATCGATAGATCACTTCATCCTTTACTTAATTCCAAAAAACTATAATTTTCTATGAAAGGAACAAGGCCCTATAAGCCCAAAACCAGCGACACTTTTTTCGAAATTTTTTGCAGATAGACCACTTTACCTTTCAGCCCTTCAATTTTGGTAAGAAAATCATTGTGAATGGTGGCTACTGACTTCATATAAATGAACCGAAAAACTTGACTGAAAATGACCTTCATCCCATTATATTTCCTCTTTTTTAGAACCGTAATTCGTATTTCTGGAAGAGAGGGAAATATCTTATGAGATATGTTGTGCTGCACACAATCGAATAGTCATTGGAATAGAAACGAGAAGAAATTAAACTGCAGCGTTTATGAATTATGACGGAAATGAAGGTGTTGGTAATATCCGTGGTCTGTGACCTGATTCCCCAAAATTTTAAACTTAAAGCTGCTTTGCGTTTTGATCATTAAGGATAATATTAAAGAAAGGTAGGAGAACCAGGAGAACTAGAGTTAATGCTAATGGTCTCCAAGGTTAATGACAACGATATGGTTTGAGGTCTCCCTTAAAATGTAGCTAGAGACAGCTTCTGCCACTAGATGGTGCTGCACACAGTGGTCACAATACAATCGTTTCTTCCATCGGCTTTCGTATTCGAAGGGTCGCGCTAAGTTGACATTCTAAGGATGTCAAAGGCTTGTTCATGTTGCTTTACTTTACGTTTTGCTAGATACTCAGTCCCTCCTGATCATACACAGCCGCTTTCATTTGCGTCAATTACGTGATACAAATTAAGAATGAATTGCTCTTCATCCTCAACGTCGAGTAAGATGATGAAGGATTTGACAGAAGAGCTGTGGGTTAGAAAAATTGCAAAAAATACGAGGAAGCATACAAAATCTTAGATTTTTCTCATCAGATTTTTCTTGTACAAAAAAAAAACAGCCCTGATCTTCCCCAGCCTTGATTTTTCTCTAGCGGAAAGAAGGTTCAAATGTGAAAATTACAGCTAATTAAAAATAAATCTTGAAGTCAAACGCTGAAAGGCCCGTTCCTTCGAGTAATTCCCTATTCTGCATTTTTAAAGACATTTAAGACATCTGCATTAACGTAGGTGGATAAGTGATGCATACAATCAAATTAAAAGAACTTATATATTAAAAAAGCGCCGAAAGTAAGCACGAACTTTCAAGCCCCCAAATTTATGCTCTTGTTGCGTTAGCTGTGACTTAGAGTCCTGCAAGAGCTGCGGGCTGATCGGTCCAACCCGACCCAACGGGCCAAAAATACGACGATTTCTCGTCGAGGCGGGTTGGGCAGTGAGACTCGGTTGGAGAAGGGTTTTGGATCGAGTGCAGGTTGATCAGGCCGGATTCGTCAAAACCAGGGCTGTGCAGGGCTGTACAGTAACTAGTGATCACAATGACATCGGGGGCGATGCATCTGTGTTCACGTCGCGCTCCCTGGGAAAGGCCGGGGAAACGAAAGATGCAACCAGTCGACCGAATCGGGTTCTGCCCGATCCCAGTCACTATGCGAACTCCACCATCACCACAGATACCATGTTTGCACTATGTTTGCATAGGCATTCGATAAATAAATAACAATAATATCTGGTGAGGAGGATTGTCCTCTTAGTGGCGAGAATGGGGAATCCCCAAACCATATCTTTTCTAATAATCCTAATAATCCTGATTTCACACTTACTGTTCACATGGAGACGAGCTTGTGTGGAGACCTTGCCCAGATTATTTAAAGCCTGGCATTCAAAGAGGCCGGCATCTTCCGGATAGATCTCTCGAATGCGAAGCCGAACCACTTCGTCATCCACTTCATACCGGAACCCATGACAGTTCTTGATGATCTGGGTAAATGGAGGAGGCACGGATGCAGCACAAGCAAATGCTTTCAACCTGATGGTTTCAGTCATCTCACCCACGCGGAGAGGGAGTGATTTACCTCCTTGCTGGACAAGGGAAGTAACTCACGGGAGCGGACATTAAGAGATTCCTTGTGTCCCGTCCCTCTCCATGTCTCGGAGGTACTTACCTTTCCATCTTTGGTCCAGACTATAGTCGGAGGAGGGTCACCCGTAACGCGGCACTCGAAAGAAGCTTCGTCACCGTCTCCGCAATAGAGGTCACGCAAAGGCTCCAACACTTGCGGAGCCTTCTCTACCTCACTAGAACATATTCCAAACGCACCATCTCTCATCTGAAGGACAACATTATGGATGACTTCCTTCAAATACTTTACAGACAATGAAAAATTTCCTCGAAGCTCTATCGAACCCTGGTCCTTCCATCAAGGAAAGCACATTCATTATGAGTATCGCTTGGATGAAAGCCTTACTTATTTGCATGAATGATTGAGAATGTCCCCAGTCCCACTTGCATCCCATCCGAGGGGGCTTTTACATCGCAATGAGCAAGGGGCACTTCCTCGTGTACACAAAGCATTGCATGGCATGTGTAATGAAGCAGACATTGACCGGTATTGTGAAAGCAAATAAGCCAGTAATGAGCACTTGAGAGGAAAGAAATACAAATTGACTTTCTTTCATGCACTCACCTCATCTTAACTTTCGGAGCGTCAGCCTCTCCCTCCTTCCCCTGACCTGGAAAAGGAGATATTAATATTGGAGAACAGAATCGAATCCACGCTCGGATGGAAAAGCGATAACTATCGTAACCAGTACTACCCGTGATTACTTCTTAATCCAATAACCCAAGGCGCGACACTATAAAAAAAGGGATTAGTTTATTTTTTTCAAATAATTTAATCTGATATCAGACGAACCTTGTGTTGCCTTTCTTTTCATGACGTTTCAGATGAATAAGGAACATATCTGTCAAAACCCAGTGCTTTAAATGCAATAACTTTTCAAAGTTGAAGTATCGAAAATCGCCATGATGAAGCATCGCACAAAATTAATGTTCCAGGTACCAATAAGCCAGTTTGCTGAGATCCAACATGACAGAGTGCAAGTGGTAGGCAATCTCAGCGAAGATATTGGCTTTTGATATCTCTTATCATGTGCTATTACAGTTGCTTTGCATTCTGTTTGCAATTTTAATTACTAACCTTTTTGTGCTTTTTCGCAGGCTTCGTGCGTAACTTTCCATTCTAGCAGTTTCTATAATATCGTGCTTCATTATTTTCAAAAGTAGGAACAATATGGGATTCCGTTGAGAGGACAAACATTGATAATAAAAAAACTGGACTCTTGAATTTAATCAGTGCAATGTACTCGTAATAGCACATGATAATTGAAATTCTTTTAAAATACAAAATAAAGAAAACTATTGCACATTCAATACTGCCTGTCGTCTTCGCTCGGCCATGTTTTACTCATCTGAAGTGAAGTATTTAGCGTAAAGCAATCTGTAGATTGGTTATTCACTGCAATTTTCGATACTCCACCTTAGAAAAGTTATTGCATTTGAAGCATTGGATTTGATAGGTGTGTTCCTTATCCATCTGAGACGTCACGTATAGAAAAACTTGAGGTTCGCCCGATATCGGAATACATTTTCTCCTTCCACATGTCTGACATGTGTAGGGAGAAAGTGTCCCAGATCAATATCCTCCCACGCAATGCTGTGGCTGTCGTCTTTTTGTCGGTCTAGGGGAGCGGGGCCTCAAAGGGTTACGTGTATGAGCTTGTCCTCTTATCAGATGATCTCTATTGCCTCCTGAACCTTGGTGAAGGGAGACCTACTTGGTGGCAATTAGGGATATTTCATATACGGCCCCTTTCATGACGCGGATGATCTGATTACTTACAAATAAAGTGGCCTGGTTTTACGATGGAACGGCTACTACACACGCAACTGGTGTGCCTTCCCTTCTTTGAAAGAACACTCAAGCCGACTCTAAGCTCTATCTCATAGATCCTCGTCAGCTTGGGTCACAAAAAGCGAAGAAGGATGTGTACAGTGGTTCCCTTCGGCCTTTGCACTACTTTTGGTCAATTAATGTATTCGTAGTTGCACCACATAGTCGGAATTTACAATGCATAGCTCAGCCTTTCGATTTTGGAGATTATGTTCCTTCGCTGGCTGTACCATACGAGAGTGTCCACATCAGATGCTATTTCACAACATCCCAGGAGTTTTAGAGGAATTCTCACTCATTATAACACCACCAACTCGAGATATTATCAATAAAATGCCATGTACTGCATGTATCTTAGTCCTCGTGCAAGTTCACTACAATACCTAATGTACCAGAGATGCGTAGTTTCAAGAAATGGCGTCAAGTCCGGCACTCTCGCCGCTTCCACGATTTGGGGCTTCCTGGTGAATGGTGATGCAAATTTGATATCACGATATGAATGCGGCTCCGGAGGACGCAAATTAATCGTCAGACTTGAGTTGGTCTACGAGACATTCATTCTGACTTGTCTCGTCATATCTTGACTATTGAGAGACTCTCGCATTGTGCAATGCGCGCATTTGCAGACCTGAGAAACTTCTCTGGCCCATGTATACCCAACACAGGACACGACAGATCACCAATCCATCGGTTAAACAGCTAAAAATTATATTCTCGTAAAGAGAATGCCAGACGAAGACATAATGATTTACTTCCCCGTCAGCATTCCTGATCGAACGACGTACGTAAAACCTGATTTTAAGCATCTAAATTGCCAGCATGAGGAGGAAGTAAAGGGCTGAGACCTGGATTCGCTTTCATTTGAGACCCTCTAAATTCTACAATCTTTTGCTATGCGACCTTGGGATCTTTGGATCTCCTCCAGTTTTCATGCCCATTACAGAAAAATAAATCTATTCCAGGGAGCTCTTCCGTCTTCAGTTGCATCCGAGGTCCCCTTTTTGGCATTGGGTTAAGATCAAAGGCCCAAGAAGATAGAGCAGAAATGAGGACAGTGTTAAGTCGAAATGACTGCTACATAATTGACAAGAGCTAATGAGGCACTGCCGTTCCATCACTCATTCCGCTACGAAAGGAAGCTACATATTGAAATGTTAGATCTTTCAGAATATTTCCCTCATATTTCACTATCATCGAGAAGCTTCTGCTACGAAGTGCTCATGGAATACTTTGGAAGGGTCAACAAATGCGAGCATTGTACAGCCTGGGATATTCAAATCATATCAGTTAAGATAGGAAGAGACTTCGAGATTCGAATGCCTCAGTCTACCGCAGGTCAGGTCTCATTTCAAACAGCCTCCTCTAAAGTCGTTGGTCTACATCAGTGTACTTCGCATGCCGCAAAAAAAGAGTTAAATCTGGGAAAGTGAACAGTATATTCTGGTCTAATGGGGCAGCACCTATTTAAAACATTATTGCCCGTGAGGGAAGTTTTACGAATGTTATGAAAAAAAAATCCTGTTTCTCAGGTGTCTCGTACAGGGTGTCTGAGAAAGTTCTACCGTTTTAAAATTTAAATGCCTCAACTATCAATCGATGCAACACGCATCGACAGAAAGTCCGAGTTTCAGAATTCCTCCGATTCATCCAAAGCCTTTACCGACTAAAGTTGCTTTAGTGGCTTCCTCTGAGTTAGGAGCTAGCCAAGCAGGTCATAAGCATATATTGATACTAATAAGTACTAAGGCAAAAAGAGACACTTCTCTTCTTATTTCTTTACGGATTTCTGTATGAGTTTCTGAATTACTTTAGTAATCTATTCGATCGGAATACATCAGTCACACAATGCAAGATGGCTATCCTGATTCCGGATTCCTGCCCCGATGCCGAATCAGATCTAGCACTCCCTCCTATCTAATCCCCCCCACCCGACTGTAAGCTTTTCTAAGCGCGAGTAGACTCTAATCCCCTTCGGGAGACTCAATTTCACCAGCATGATTATTTCAGGAATACGCTATCCGGATTCAGCACCGGGGTTCTTTATACGGGAGTACTCTGGGTATTCCAAGAAATAAATCCCTGACTTTGTTTCGAACCGTCGAACGGGGTCTCCTGGAACGAGACCCATGTTAACTACCGACCATAAGCCATTCACCCGCCCCAAGCAATGTGACGTGCACATACCTCTGGCATAGACTTGGAGGGAAATGACAGCTCTGGCCTCTCCTAGTGGATTCCTGGCAATCACAGAATACGTCCCGGTATCGTCGAAAGTAGTGCAGGGAACCTTCAAGTGGTAGGTCGGTCCCGTACCCACACGAATGAAATGCTCAGCATTCAAGTAGTAATCGGGCTACAACGGAGGCACAAAATTATCCAATTACAAGCATATTCAACATGCACGTTGAAAAAAAAGAACTATAGCATAAATTTAACTATGCTCTAAAGTTTAAGGGTGGATTTTTGAACAGAGCACTATCCGATAATGCAGCTTTATTTACCGGATTTATAATGCATTTTCTCTGAAATAAAGATGCATTATCGGATAGTGCTCTGTTCAAAAATCCACCCTAAGATATTTCCTCGCTCTCGAAGTGAAGGAGATTGTTCATTCATTTCAGGATGATGCCAAGGAGGAATACTCCAGAGTACATCGTCGTAATTACAACTATATCCACCGTCGGCACGGACGTATTGCAACAGAGCAAGAATCGTAAGCATTATCGGAATCTTAACGGTAATAATAAATGCTATCCATTAAAGCATCGTGGGAGACTTCCGCGGTTCCCATGTCGTATAGGTCATTCGTTGTCATCTGCAAACCTTTTCGGAATGGGACCACATTCCTTAGGATCCGGGACCGCAAGATCCCTTTATCCCTTTCACAGAACAAGGAAATCCTCTAACTCGTTATCTCCAGGTATGGGTAGTGGAGAGTGTGAATCGCAGCTTATCTGCAAGAAAGAAAATCATCTCCAGGCCCCATCATGGTCGTCACGCACACCTTTCCTTACTCAGATAGAAAACAGAATGATTTGCATATTTTAATGAGATGCTAAGGTTCAAGAAAGAGAAAAACTCGTGAGATTTTTTTATGAGCAATAACTGAGTCCCACATGAGCGAAAGGCGCATTGTCTCGAGTTAATGTCTCTCGTGAGAAATGGAAACGCGTTCGTCGATCGCATTCAGCTCTATGGCCTCAACGCAGCTGTGACAAAGGTCCCATTGTTGCTTGGACATACACAGGCAAAATAAATCCAGATTATCCTCTCCTCGAAATGGAGATATGTTCTATAAAGAAATCGGACTGTGTTGATCACGGTAGTCTACACACGTGTACGTCCCAAGATGTCAATAAGAGGCCTGCAATCGCTGCCTTGGTCAACTGGTAGTACAACTATGCAAATGAATCTCGCCTGTCAGCGATGGACGATTACCTCCACCTCCATCGTGATTCAAGGCTTAAAGAAGCTGGGAATGATAAGCCAGGAGCCAAAGGCACGCATGGCAGAGAGCTCCCTCCTGGAAGTATTCTGAACAGATACGTGCCTGCATGGATGCCTGACGACTGGAGAGAGCGCACTCATGGGATGGGATCCATATGAATTTCCGTGCTGCACGAACTTCGCAGTCGGCCGTGATTTATGAAACACAGGCAAGGCTAGACTTTCTTCATACCTCGGCAAACTGCATTTTTTCCCTCTCCAGCCGCACGTTACTTTCTCATCACCCTCAACTCAGAGCATCCGTATAGCCAGGAAACACACGATTATGATACAATACATACAGGTAACACTAGAACTGAAGGGAATACCCAGCTGAGCACGAAGCCAGAGCTAAGTATCGTAAAGCCAGCATATATTTTGATGGATAGAGATGAAAACATGCGAAGCTGGCACGGCATTACTCACAGCATCTAAATGCACCATGAACGCGAGCATAGACAAGCATACACTTATAAACATAATTCATAGGTACGCTAATTTTCGTCGTGGCTCGGGTCCAGGGAAACGGATCTCTCTTTATGGACCATTAGTTATAAGTGCTGCCAACTCATCCTTCGTAATGGCTTAAAGGATGTTATTACCCCTTCATCCTCCCTCCATAATTCTGGTTCCTCGGAGAACTTACCAGATTTTGGATAACACTTCTGTAACATCCCATTTGACAAACCACATGTACTTTCTTCGCAGTTTTCATTCTGTAACTTCAGCTGCATTTTCCAACAAAATGCACCTGGTTGCCCGCGAAATGGAAAATGATGGATTCATAGCATCGTAGTTTTAAAAGAATAAAGATTTTGTAGGTCCTGATAGTCTGGTTGAAGACCATTCGCAGAATGACGTTTGAGTTATTTATGAGCAAGTGGCGATAAACCGGAATACCGTCCCAGGGTGGGAAAAAGTGGACTGACGTGCTAGGACTTTCCTTCTGTTGCTGTCCTGCTTCGAAAGTGGGAATGCACGACGCCCCCTCAGGTTGCCAGTCCACAGTGATGCATAGAAGGAAAAGAAGAAAAGGCAGTATGACAAAAGGTCCTACCATATTCCTGTCAAGGACATAACCCAGTATTTTCATGGGGCGCTCTTTTGTTCGGGCTCCTTTGCATATGAGAGGGAGGGCAGAAGGCGTGCGGTTTCCCCGTGGTCAGGAGAAAGGGATTGTGGCACGGCTAAAGAGTCAGTCTCTTTCCCTCTCTCTCTTCCCTAGGACAACTTTGGGGCCTCAGAGGGCAGTCACTCTTCGGACACAAAGAGGCCACAATGACTGGACATCGAGATATGCTAATTGCAATGGATGGATCTCCCCGGTTTTCTACAAAGCCTTTGCGATTGACTGGCTTCCTTATGGACGCGGCGCCCGGGCTAGATAAAAAATGGAAAAGTGTCACACCTTTCACCCCCTTGCTTCATACGAGGGCCAAAGGTCCCTATAAGACATACTCATTTGTATTCTTGAAGAATAACTCCCACTCCATATATCCATCCATCCCGTGGCTAGTGCCGATCTCAGTCACATATGGTGCAATCGTAGCAAAACGTTCAGCATCCCTTTTAAGTCCGAGTCGCAAGGTCGCGTCCAACGGTCCTCGCTCGATGTGAAATATCCTGGCCATAAATGGACTTGTGTTACAGTCCCGACGTGATCTGGCGCCAAAAATTTGGGTCGTCGTGCTTCGAGACGCCAAGACACCTAAACAAATTACGCGATCAAACAAATTACGCAAATTATGATCGGCAGCAACGTTCTGAGCACGGATCCATGAATTCGGGACCAAAAAAATTCTTAAAAACCTTGTCCCACAATCGAAATAAGGTGGAAAGGGAAGACAGGGAACGATTCGTGAGCGTTTACGCGACTTGGAGTCACGACGAAATGAGAAGAACGTGAAGTGCATTCCCCGGCGATTGACCTTCCATGTGCCTTACGCGGCTCGGTTCGATCGTGACCAGGCCATTTACGAACAACGATTGGTTCCACTTCTTCGTCCTTCCCCTCTTTAATAATTTCCTTCAACGGTATTTTTTTTCCCGAGAACGAATGGAACTCTGGACAACACATTCGCAGTTGGAAAGGTCTTCGGAAAGTGTCTCAGGTATCTCTGTATGTTTCCTGACACATTCGTGAGGAGATGCCCTGATAAAGAAGAGTGACACTTCGCATGTGTTACGCCTCGTTTCGGGTCCTTGAGCGCTCTAAATGACGCACGTAAATCTTGTCACCCTGGAGTAAAGTCTTATTACAAGTACGTTGACAATACCTGGGATTCTCCTTCGTACCTTCCACTCTCGTCTTAACTCTTCATATTTCGCGCTTGATGCCAGTCAGACACAAACACCAGTAGACTTTCTAGCACTTGATTCCTGTACATGGTTGGCACGATGACAAAGTATGTCTGTACCATAGAAATACTTGCACGCATGGTGAAAGGTACCATGGATCTCAAAGACGTTATGCAGACCTGACTCGAAGAGAATGAGGACATATATGCGTACAGCATTCCATTCGGTCATTACATTCACTTGTCTTGAAATTGCTGAATGATCAGAGGACCCCTAGCGTTAAGATTATAACGGGACGTTAATCACAAGCATGGGAAATCTCATTCGGAAATGACACCAGAAAGCTTCATCAACGCTATTGAACAATGCCACATTTTTCACACCGGGGTCAGACAGGGGGACAGGCGGTGATTTTACCATCTCCCTCCAATACTCGCCCATAGAATTGCATAAGATGGCTACTGACATAATGACATAAATGCAACAGACATCAAATATATCACTCCCCTACCTCCTCGATTCACCACAGAATATGGAATACTAGCTCCACTTACTGTACTCAATGTAAATTTATATATTGCACAGTTAAAAGGGCATTCCAAGGGTATATGAAGCGATGTCATCGATGGATACCTTTGGGGCTTCCACTCTTCACTTCCTCTGGCAAGAAAAAGCCATGCATAAGATTACTATATGAATGCATGACTATCGTTATTGTGGAGCCCTCTATATGCATTGTTGAGCAGGAATCTTTGGATGGGCTGTTCCTCAAAGAGAAATTGTAAAAATTGAAACCTCTAAGGCATCTATCGGTGATATCACCCGTGTTCCTGTAGAACATACTTCATGAAAGAACGTACTCCAGTTGCAACAGATGACATGTACAGGAAACAAGATAATACATGCGGTTCTGAAAATAAACGTATGAAATTAACGTTGCTTTCCTATTCTTTTCTTTTCGATATGACGTTTACTTTAATATATAATTCCAAAGAAAAGTAAGTGCTCGAGAAACAATGGGCGGATCGATCCATTCATCTTTTCGTTATGGCCATCCGAGACTCCTGCGTGAGTCGTCATGTAATGCATAATGAATTAAGGAAGATGAAGCGAGCTTCGCAACAATATCAAAATTACGGAAGGAAACTTCCAGCAATAAAAGGGAAAAGAAAGGACTATAATCACTTGGTAGATTGGTAGAGTGCTTTTTCTCTTAAATGGTACGATTTACGTTTCAGAAAGTTTTGGCTCTTGGATTTTCTGAAAGCAAAAAGTATTGCGAAGGACTCCAAGAACCGTAAATGGAAATCTACATAAGTGTACAATCACAAGAGTTGAACATACGATGCCTGGCTAATTTAATTGCCGACGTGGACTCCCCTGATTCCCAGGCGACAGTCGACAACATGGTCCCTCCAGCAGTGACTGTTACAATATTACTGCTACATAGTGCTACTGTATTAATTGTGCATAAGCAGGCGTAAGCAGGCGTGATCAGGTGTGATTATGACGCAGGAAAACGTTTCCAGCATTATACAGGGCATTTGACTGAGAAAAATAGCAATGACA